GGACCTCGAAAGATCATCTAGTCCAATCCCCCTGCTGGAGCAGGAACACCTAGATAATGTTACACAGGAATGTGTCCAGGTGGGTTTTGAATGTCTCCAGGGAAGGAGACTCCACAACCTCCCTGGGCAGCCTGTTCCAGTGTTCCGTCACCCTCACTGAGAAGAAGTTTCTTCTCAAGTTTAAGTGGAACCTCTTGTGTTCCAGTTTGTACCCATTACCCCTTGTCCTATCATTGTTTGCCACTGAGTAGAGCCTGGCTCCATCCTCGTGACACTCCCCCTTTATATATTTATAGACACTTATAAGGTCACCCCTCAGTCTCCTCTTCTCCAAACTATAGAGACCCAGCTCCCTCAGTCTTTCCTCATAAGGGAGATGCTCCACTCCCCTAATCATCTTTGTTGCCCTGCGCTGGACTCTCTCCAGCAGCTCCCTATCCTTCTTGAACCGAGGGGCCCAGAACTGGACACAATACTCCAGATGCAGTCTCACCAGGGCAGAGTAAAGGGGAAGGAGGACCTCTCTCGACCTACTAACCACCGCCCTTCTAATACACCCCAGGATGCCATTGGCCTTCTTAGCCACAAGGGCACAGTGTTGGCTCATGGTCATCCTGTCGTCCACTAGGACCCCCAGGTCCCTCTCCCCTACACTGCTCTCTAACAGGTCATTCCCCAACCTATACTGGAACCTGGGGTTGTTCCTGCCCAGATGCAGGACTCTACACTTTCCCTTATTATATTTCATCAAGTTACTCCCTGCCCAACTCTCCAGCCTGTCCAGGTCTCGCTGGATGGCAGCACAGCCTTCTGGCGTGTCAGCCACTCCTCCCAGCTTAGTGTCATCAGCAAACTTGCTGATAGTACACTCAATTCCCTCATCTAAATCATTGATGAATATATTAAATAATACCGGTCCCAGTACTGACCCTTGAGGCACTCCACTAGTTACAGGCCTCCAACTAGACTCAGCCCCATAGACTACAACTCTCTGGCTTCTCTCCTTCAGCCAGTTCGCAGTCCACCTCACTACCTGATCATCCAGTCCACACTTCCTCAATTTAGCCGTGAGGATGCTGTGGGAGACTGTCAAATGCTTTGCTGAAGTCAAGGCAGACCACATCCACCGCTCTGCCATCATCCATCCACCGTGTTATTTCCTCATAAAAGGCTAAGAGATTGGTCAAACATGATTTCCCCCTGGTGAAGCCATGTTGACTGCCCCTCATAACCCTCTTATCCTTGATACGCCATAAGATGGTACCAAGGATAAGGTGTTCCATCACAGGTGAGACTGACCGGTCTATAGTTACCCGGCTCCTCCTTCTTGCCCTTTTTGAAGACTGGAGTGACATTTGCTTTCCTCCAGTCCTCAGGCACCTCTCCCGTTTCCCAAGACTTGGTAAAGATGATGGAGAGTGGTCTAGCAATGACTTCCGCCAGTTCCCTCAGCACCCGCGGGTGCATCCCATCTGGACCCATGGATTTATGGATGTCCAGATTGCTCAACTTATCTCTAACCCATTCCTCATCGACTAAGGCAAACCGCTCCGTTGACCTGACTTCATCTAAGGTCTCAGGGGTACAGGGCTCTTCAGGACTGCCCGCAGCAGAGTAGACAGAGACAAAGAAGGCATTCAGTAACTCTGCCATCTCTGTATCTTCTGTCACCAGGGCACCCATCCCGTTCATCAGTGGGCCTACATTGCCTCTGGTGTTAGGGTTGTCTGCCATGTATTTGAAAAAGCTCTTTTTGCTGTCCTTGACCCTTCTCGCCAGGTTTAATTCTAAGGAGGCCTTAGTCATCCTAGCTGCCTTCCTACATCCTCTAGCAGCAGCCTTATATTCCTCCCAAGTGGCCAGCCCCTCCTTCCATGACCTGTAAACTCTCCTCTTCCACTTGAGCATACCCAGCAATACCCTATTGCACAGGGGCAGTGAAGCAAGTGAAGTCTGACATGGTTTAGGTTCTAAGAGCATTGAGCATTAGAGATACAGGAAAGCACCTGACACTGCTCTGTCCAGGTCTTAAACAGGTCAATCATCAGTCACAAGGGTTAGTATTACAACAGCATCTTCAACATTAAAAAGCCTACATGCTTGTACCAGCCTGTCCAAAACACCCAGTGACAGAGCCAAAAACAGATGGGTCTGATTCTATGTACACCATTCTCAGAAGACAGGCAAACTGGCATATATCCTAATGTTCATGTGTGTTGCTCCTGACTGATACTGAAGCCAGCTTTATGCCAAAGAAGAGGGCCAAGACACTTCTACACAAGAAATAAAAGCAGCACATCTAGGCACATACCTAGATGTCCACCTAAAATGTATCAGCAAGTCACTCAGCTGAGCAGCAGGAAATCTCTTTTGACAGAGTAAGTGCCCTATGAAATAACAAACAAAAATGTGCATCTCAACCTATTCTCAAAGCTTTTACCCCAAGTGTTCTACCAGAGCAGTTGACCTGGAACAGAATTCCCTTCCTGGCTACTTGATAAGGTTAACCCAACACAGGAAAGAAAAACCTCACACTATGTTTGGCCTTGCACCAGCACAAGCAAGTGTAACAGCCATGTCACAGCTGGACAGAAGGAAACTGGATTGAGGCCAGACACACAACGTTGGCTTCTCTGGACATGTAAGATAAACCTCCATGTTCATCACAGGGTAATCTGGACCATGGAAACAGTATCTCTGAGCATGAAAATAGTTTCTGAAACAAAACAAAACCCAGAACAAACAGAACCCCCCCAACAGCCCCAAACAAAAACACCACCTGTTTTCCACAGCACTCTAACAGGAAAAGAAGCTAACATTGCTGTAATTTAGCTAAAAAGATGTGGGCCATCCACAGAGCCCGTGCATGGCATACCTTTCCTTGTGCCATGAGGTTTGTGCTGTGGCTCAAGTGCTTCAGTATATGCATGCCCATACACTGTGGAGACACATCAGCCAAGGTTAATCAGCTTTCAGCAAATCCACCCAGAAAGAAATAATGGGTATTTCGGTAAATCTCCTCCTCACAAACATTCTAACCAGCAAAACCAGCATTTGTCAGCTTTGACATGTCCACTTTGAAAGGCATCTACAGAAGCAGATGTGACAAACCTAAAACGGATGCACACTCTCATGCAGTTTGGCTATTTGATCTCAGGCTAGTGATCCTTATCACCAATCCAGCTGTTAGTACAACACACAACTTGATTATTAAAAAGACTATCAGCCCATTTCCTTAGAAAAATCTAGATTTTTATTATACATACTGTATTACACTGAAAATACGTACTCAAAGACAGAGTATTTTGAATTTACAACTGTACAAAAAAAAACAATAGAAAACATACGGGCTATGCTATAGATGTAACATTATACAAAATGACAGTTCTTGTTAAAGGCACCAGATTCCCAGAGGGTTCTGGCTTAACATTTTATAGTCTTATTTTCTTTTCCAGTCAGAACTTACTATGAAGATGCAATTCACTCAAACTGAATCATGTCAAAGTCTTACGCTTCTTTCATCTAGAAAAGTGGTCTGCACTTTGACACAACTTAGTGAGAGAAGTGATCAATTGCACATGGAGATGCCAAGCAACTACCTAAGGCTCCTCCCCACTGCATCCAGCATCCTATGGTGTTTAACTGAAGATTAAATGGCAATACTACCAGGGAAAAATCAAGTCAACCCTACATGGTCTAATGCGTCATACCCTTGCCCATGGCAGGGGGGTTGGAACTGCATGATCTTAAGGTCCTTTGCAACCCAAACCATTCTATGATTCCATGAATATTAGTGTTAACCAAACTAAGCCTAGACTGTTTTGTATGGAGTAACTACAGAGCACAGGAGAAGGAAAAAAAGATGTTGTCAAAAAGGAAGATGGAATCTATGATCGGAACTCTTGCTCAGCATCCTCCTTAGGCTCATTTTCTTCCATTACACTCATTTTATCTTTCCTGGTTCTCACGGCACTCATGAAAGAAAACAGAGCCTAAAGAAACCCAATACTTTGCTGTAGGGCACATTGTTAAAGGAGTCTGGCTATGTATGTATGTGCTCCTCCTCTCCCAAGAATAAAAGCTTTGGACAGGACAAGCCACTTTCACTGCTTCTTCCTCCAGTATTCCATACTCCAAAAATCAAACCAAATCAATTCATATCATGCCTAAGCTTGCACAGACAGGTGATTCCTTACAAGCAAAGGCAAGAGAAGCTGGGATATCTTGCCTTATGAGGTGCAGCAATGCACTTAGGGAAGTTCGGGACTGCTATTTCCTAAAACTTCATGAGCAGATAAAAGGAAAAAGGATAAAAATAGAGCTTTAATAAAATTCTGAACTGCTTCTCTGGTCAATTTGTCAGTGCATCTGCAAGTCACTCTATAGTCAACAAGTGTTCTTGTTTCATCTTACAGCACATACTGAGCCTCACTGAACAGAATCAGCTAACATCCAAGTGACTGAATAGTCAAGACAAAAAAATACCAAGTTCCAGGGCCAAATTTTGTTCTGTATACAACAATTCCTTTATAAGTTGAAGTAATGCTGTGGTATTGAGGGTAAGGAAGTCACAAATAAATTATTTCTGCAGTTTAAACTGCCTTATCCTAGTGGCTTAATAGAATTAAAAATATACTGTGCTTCTAATTAAAATCTCAGTTTATTACGTATGACCGACTTCAGACAAACAGGCCTGGAGGAGACCGACTTTGTTAGGCAGCAGATACCAATAGCAGCATGATTAAGCTTCCTACACACTACTGCACTCAAAATGACTCCACTGCATTCTAGAAGGGCTTCTTGAAGAGGAGAGGAAGAGCTGTCCCCATGCCCACAGCACAGGTCTGACATACACACTTCTACAGAGTAAGGTTTAATGAGGAACCCCAGTTAATCTCAAGTAAGCCGAAAAAGGCATCACACAGCAGCTCCTGACCACTACTGAATTGCAAAGTCTTGCATCAGCTATTTACAGTGACAGTACATGCCCTTCAAGCCAGTTTTCAAGAAGTTTCATGTTAAAAATTGTATTTGGTATTTGCAGCTTATGTAGCAAGCAGCAACAGTTAAGACAGGAGTATCATACATGTGTACATAAAACTGGTCATCGCAAGAAAGCTGTAAAATCTGAATAATGCAGACAAGAAAAGGAATGTCACTTTTCTTTAAACCTTTCTAAGGTGAACACTTTCATAGTCTATTGTTAGCCCCGTGTAATCTACTATAACCAAGTAAGTTAGAACCATGAAAACACATTCTACTGAACTCCTAAAAAACAACCTCACTGCTCATCCTCACTTGTCAGGCTGGTTTCTAGCTGTATAAAGTAAAACTGCAATCAGAATCACAATCTAGGTTGCTTCTGAAATGGGGTACTGATGTGGAGGAGAGCCCCCAGTATGACAGTTATCTGGGAGTAACTTGCACACTAATGCATACACAACACTGCGTGATGGTAGCAGCTATCATCAAATAACTTGCCCACTGCAGGAGCTAGAACATTCTGTGTATTTGCTTGATTAAAGTTAAGAAACCTACACTTTTGGTCACATCTTAAAACTGTAGAATACAGGTTTCTTATTACTTACACTTGCCCTGTCCTGTTGGGTAATTTGCTTGACAAACTAAAAATAAAATGCAATAAAAATGCCCCAATACAAAAAGGCTCTAATCAATCATCTAAGTGTCTTTGTTAGTATATAAGAGTACTTACTGGATTTGGTCTGCTTTTCCATTAAAAAAAAGATAAAAGCCTCATTTTATCTTAAGAGTTCCACTTCAAGATGAGCCTCTAGTCAGTTCAAGGTACCTCCCCAGCACTATTTCCAACCAAGCACAGCTCCACACACAAGTACTGGTAGAACCCAGACATTCAACTCAAGCCTCCTTCAGGTGATGAAACCAAGTTTCCAAAGGATGAATCCTGGACTATGAACATAAGCTCTCTCAATAAAAGCAAGCTTTTATTTGTCCTATTAAAGCCAAATTATACCAGTGGTGTGAACACAGTTATAAAGATAAAAACGTGCTTCTACTAGAAGGAGACAAGTATAAGGCACATTTATATGCCAGTATAATTGTGGCCACACTAGTGATGACACTGATATAACTACACTGGTAAGAACCACAGCTACAGTCATTCAAAAGTGTTTGTATCAGGGCTTGGCAATCAAACTCAACCAACCAAACACTGCCTCAAGACAACAAACCTTCCCAACCACCTCTGTTCAGACAGGTGTCACTCAATCCTTTCTAAGGCCATTTTTAAATCAAGCTGCAATTGGTCTTGAGATGTTACAGTTTCACTTCCCCCCAGGTAAGTGATGCTGTTCAACAGCTTGCTATGCAAGAGTCACACATCAACTTCTACTTACATAGCAAAGGGCCATCATTTCTAGGCAGTGACAAGCCCCCGCTACTTTCTTCTTAATTTTGGTTTTGTTTTTCTTCAGAAAGGTCCAACATTCAGTTTCTCCTGATCTCAAATAATGTCAGGTATAAATTAACTCATGCTGGGCATGGACACTGAAAATATATCGAGTTAACAAAGTTGCTCCATCTCATTCTGTCACCCAAGCATAAATAAGCTAAACACAGTGGGTACCATTAGACACTGGACATCTACCACCTGCAATACTTAGTTATACTGCAGCTGAATTACAAACCAATCAAGCACCAGCATGTGGTGCTTTAATGTCCATTCTTACAATAGAACCCATGTAGCCAAAGAAAATATTTTTACAATAAAGATCTGTGCCCTTGTTTAATGGTAAACCGTGAATGACTGTGCAGTAGTCTTCTCTTCTGGTACTCAGAAGTAAACTGCTCCCATCTGTAATCTTTCAGTTGTGATCTTCTTTTCTGGCATCTTGAACTGTAGGAAAATAGAAACACACCAACATCATCTCCCCCACCCCCCAGATCACCTTTCCCTCTCCCATGATTAAAAAAGAAAAAGCAAATTTGACACCATCTTTTGTGTTCACTGAGCTCAGTTAAGTCGAAGAGCCACAGCTTCTATTCTGGAGGGTACTAAGAAATGTACACATGAATGCCATTTTGTACAGTTGACATACTCTAAGAGCTGGTTGACTCTGAGCTTGATTTGGTCCAGTCTGCTGTTGCTGCATCTCTTAGGAAACATTAGTTATAGGTTTGTACTTCTTGAATCTGGTCCATTCACCAGTAGCATAGTTCATTTCAAAGACCGTATCAACCAACATAGTGGTGCTGCCAGTGCCATCTGCCTTTGGTAAATCTTCTGTATGCTCACTAAGTTTAATTTGGATGATGTCACCCTGCTCTTGGCAAGGATTCTCTGTGAAAACAAGAATAGGAACAAATTATACACTTCAGCACTGTACTAAGAAAGGTAAAGAAAACTTACAGCAAACAAACTCCCAAGCAACAAATGCCAAACTCAAACCTGAGCAAGCAGTATCCCCAATAGACACAGCCACACAAAGATATTCCTCCCTCCATACATCACAGACTGACTTTTAAAGATGAAAAAAAACAGACCCCAGAAGATGAACCCCATGGCTAAAGTAACTGGAAGAACACCAAAAAGGGGAGTAAAGCATGCCAGTGTCATTTCTATAGGCATCAAGAGTCTTAAGACAAGTTTATATTTAAGTGGGAGCTGCTAAACCTGAACCACCAGAGTTACCTTATTTGAGATACATTTTGCAGTTAAAAGCCTCAACAATTTTCAGCTGCTCTGGAAGCCCAAACAGCTTCACTGAAATCACTAGTTCAAGACTCAGTTCTTTGCCAGTAAAAGTATTAAATGTTACATTTCAAGGTACTGGAATTGGCATTCAAGAAGCTCAGGATTACCATAATTGACATTTACCCAGCCTTTAGAAGGTGCTGACATCATTACAGAAGGAACTCATAATTCAGACTGTTATATACACTTATCTATATAGACACATATGTGAATATACATAACACGCACATGGTGCACTTCCAAAATATCATTTTACCTTGCTTTACAAAAAAGAATGCCTGTGTAAGCATTAAAAATACACCCTCCTACTGCATTTGAATAGTAAAGAGCACCATCATTAATGCAAGATACACAAAACTTTCTTAAAGCCCAGGGACCACCACAGTAACTCCACCCTGGTCACCTTCAATAATGTGTTGCATTAATCCAAATGCATGATCCACATTTACGCTCCACCGCTCCAGTGTTAAAAGCCCTCAATTACCAAATTAGAAAGCAGACCTAGTGCAGATGACAGAGTTCACTTAAGGCCTCTTAAGCTCCTTCTCATCTTACATCTGATAATCTTCTGGGTAAAACAGCCTTGTCTATCAAGGTGAATATATGACAGGATTAGCTATAAGGCAGCTTATCTTCCTGTGAGTCACATCACCTGTGGTTAGCTAAAGTCTCCAAGACAACACATGCTACATTTCCAACACTAAGGAATTAGCGAAGAGGCTCTGTACTACCCAACTTGTACCTCGACTTGGCACTGAAGAACTTACTCATTGGCCTTCTAGGCAGACTACTAGGACCAGAACAATCTGTTCACTGTTCTGACTGGTTGCCTCATTTCTCTTCAGCCTCTAAGCCATGCTATTATTACATGTGTTCAGTTGTGTAGCTATTGTGTTTAGCAGCTGCTCTGACTGTTCGAGTTACTGGAAATAGACTCTACAGACTCATTTCCAGGTAGTTAAAACTGAAATAGCTAGAGCAATAATCCATAATTTACGTACAGCCCAGAGTAGAACAGAGAGTCCAGTATGTACAGAGAAATGCTAAAGCAAGAGTCTTGCATTCACATGTGCACATTTAGAAATGCTAGGCTGTGCTTCAGATTTAGGTATTCAAAACCAAACTAAATTGGTCTCAATACATGCCTCTGGATCCTGCCATGAATCCAAGTATAAGAGCCTTTTCTGGCCTTGTAACTTTGTTTGCAGTCTTGAACATTTCCTGTGCAGCATACATTTGCTCCCTCTGCAAGAGATAACAACAAATATGAATTCCAGTGGAGAAAACACTGCCAACAGGTACCATATTAAGAATCACAGACAAGCATAAAAGACTCAAGTGGAAATTTGCAGATCTACAAAAGTAAATAAAAAACCAACCCTGCCTTAACCTCAAGGCTTTCCCTCTCTAATGCTTAAACCTAACACAGAAATAACTGAATTCTCAAACTGGGGGAAAAAAAAAAAACTACCTTTAAAAAGTTATTGAAATGTGCTGAGACTTAATGTTTTCCCCAACAAACCCAGGCTTGCAATAATTTGAGGATTTTAATTTTATTTAGTAAATGAAGCAAAGGTACCGAAAAGGTCACTCAGCTTCTTAAAAGTTCAGATCTCACAAGGCAGGCTTACAGATGTGCTTAGCAGTCTTCAAATCAGTCACATTCTGCATTAGTTAGCTGCTTAACTTTCAGCATGCACATAATATATACCAACATACAGCAATAAGAAGCTTCAGGACATGTAATTGCTGTTCCTGAGGAATCTCCTTCCTCCCCACTCTCAGGCTTTAAAAAAAGCCAAGCGCAACAGGGGGTGAAAGGATGAAGACATAAAAGGTTTTTGCCTTAGAATAATCCATGGATACCTTTTCTCCTACCACAGCAATGACAGGATCCTTTTTGTTGCTTACATTACAGGCAACTGGCTGGGCAACAGCTTTGCTGGAAATCCATTTTATAATGAATAACACAACATTATTTTACATAACAAATAGGAGTAAAGACATCTTATTGGGACATTAGCACTGCACAAGTAAAAATGCTGTGATTAAGACAGCAATGCTATCAAAGCCACAAAACATTTTCACTATCTCTGGTCACAAAAAAAAGCAACCTAAATCACTCAATAATTCAAAGGCCAGGAACTGCCAACATACTGTATGAGCTCAATAATAGAGATTAGTGTTTTCCAATCTACACCAAAAGCAGCAGTCAAAAAGAACCTTGTTTTACTTACTGTGAGAGAGAGGCTCTTTTTTGGTGGTGGCTGTTGCTGAGTTTGGGGGGCCACTTGTGGTGCCTGTGCTGCAGGGGAAATGGCAGGAGGTGTGGTAGGTGTTAGAGGTGAGGTAGGTGTGGCTGCAGGTGGGTTTGAGTTGCTATTGTACATGGGTGTTCTCTGTTTGAACTGTGCAGGAAGAGTTGTAGTAGCATTTGGAGCTGTAGGCTCCTCGGTCTGCCGGGTAGTCTGCAAGGCCTCTCGTGTAGAACCAGCTGCAAAGGCCAACCAGGACAATTAAATATGATAATCCAAACAGGGATGAGCATCACCAATGGCCTTTTAAAGAAAACTAATAAATCTTATTCCATTTTACCACTATGATTCAACATCTATGTGAAAAATTGAAGTAATAATGCTCTTTCCACTCAATTATCTACAATACTTAGAGACAACTGACTACCTGTCCAATACAGATTATACTACAATAAGCATCTAATTTTATGTTTAACGGGTACCAGATTAAACAAATTGAAACTGATTTACTTTTTAGTTTATGTAGCTCTAACAACTGTACTCTGACCCCTCCAGGATTATTGCTGTACTGTTATGTAGAGGCTAAAACCATAAAAATATTTCATCAGGTTTTCCCTAATACAGCAGCAGCTTCCAAAGGAAATGGTAATTAAATCTCAGCCATTAACAAATACTAAAAATACACAAATATTTTAACAGATGACAGAATGAAAAGTACTCTTCACAAATAAGTCTTTATTTCCTGCCAAGAGGGTTAAACCCCCACAGTATTTAGAAGTCCTAACTCTGTTATTTCTTAAAGTTGATCCATTCACCTGCACTTAAAGGAGTTACTATGGTGATCCTGGCTGCAGGTGGAGATTTACATATCTGATCAGGTTACTCTGATTTCGTAAGTTACCATCTGTCTGGAAAACAGTAATTACCCACTGTAGCCAGCAACATCTTTTCGCAGCTCTTAAGACATAGGCACAGCTGCTTAAACACCTTTCCACGAACTTCATGAGGTTTATGGCAACTTATTTTCACAGTCTTCACAGTAGACTAAAAGGCAGATACACTGATGCTTTTCAGATCAGATTTTAGAGAGCAAGAGGTCTGCCACTCTCCATTTACGCAGACACAATATGGCACATTTAACAATATGGCTATTATGGAGTAAAATGTGGAACAGGACAGTAGACACTTCAGAGGAAGAGCATTTGTAACTATTAGTTACCCCTAAATTTTGTACAATCCTCTTATGTCATCACAACTGACTTGCATAAAGTAACGTCTTAATTATGCAGCCTCAGATTACATGAGACCAAATCTATGGATCTTCTGTGGGCATCTTATATCAAGGAAGGCATGAAAGTTTATGTTCCTTGTCCATGAGAAAAGATTGATAGCTCATACTCCAAAAAAAAAATAAAAGGAAAAAAATAGGGAACAAAGAAAGACAATAAAGAATTTTAAACTAGGCTTCTCCTGCTGCTGAATACAATGCCAAGGCTCTGGAAAATACTACTAGCTGCTGACAACACTGACATGCTCTTGGCTGCATTCCTTTTGGAGATGCCAGTTTTCTGCCAGAGGAAGATTTGCATGGACCTTCAGAGAGATTCTGAACTGTTTCAGGGCCAAGTGATCTGGTTTTGCATATGCATTTTTCTATAGTGGCCAACACGCCATGGCTGACATAAAGGCAAACATTACAGTACCAAATCACAAGAAGCAAGAATAAAAAAAAAAATGCATTAAACTGAAATGTTGGTTCTCTGGTAACTACAAGGCCTGACAATGAACCTCAGTCATGCACATCTGCTAGTGCAAACTGATACAACCCTTTAAAGCCTTACACACAGCAGGGAAGGAAAAGTAAAACCAAGTGTGTTAAAATAAAGGGTGTAGAAGGATGTTTACAAATACTGTTTTCTACTATAGGCAATTTTCTACAACTGAAAGTAATGTAGTACTTTCAAACTAAGCAGGAGCTCAGCCACCGTCAGACTGTTATAATAAGGTAAAAGGCAAACAGATGGCTGGATCCCAGCTTGTGTGAAAGCTAATATGTACTTGCCTCTACTAACGTCTCTGACACTCAAAGCAACTGTTGTGCATGTGTATAGATGTGCATATGGAGATATACTCCCGACTTATGTGTATTACTGGTGTCTTTTTAGGGATTAAAAACCTGGATTTTCTATTGCAGAGTAAGATTAAAAAAAAAAAACCAACAAAAACCAACAACCAACCAACCAGTAAATTGCTTTGCTTGCTTACCTAGCAGTCATTTAAAGACTTAAAACCAACATGCATTTTCTTCATACAGGTTAAATAAAATGTCTGGTTACCTCAAACCCAAATGCTGGGTTCCTGCAATGGATTTTTAGACTGCTAAGGTTAAGTTTCACTAAAGTTGAGGGATAGTAGGTTTGTAAATAAAGGCAGAGCTTGGCAGTTGGAAGTATTTGGTCAAAAAAAACCCAAAGAGGTCTCTCTTACCTGGCTGTGTTTCAGAGCTTGGGATATACGAGGACGATGGCACCACACTGGGTGTAGCAGGTAAATAACTTGTAGAAGGTAGTGCAGGCTCATTGTTCAGTGAGCCAAGTTTCTGTAAAACAAATAAAGTGTTATAGCCATACTGCATATATTCATGTGCTGGTTTTGTATTTTAAGTACAATTAATTCTGCTATAATAATAATTTGGGAACTTAAATACAGACTCTTCTGGTAGGGCAAGTTTGCCCTTTCAACCTTAACTCTCTACACAAACTTCAGGCATTAGAATTATCCTAGGAGGGAAAAAACAGCTTTTATTTCCCCTAATTCAGATCAAGTTGCTTTCAAAGGCACAGCCTGAGCCGGGAAGAATGTACTTCTGCAGAGAGAGTCAAGCTGCTGTTCCATTACCCCATTCCTCATTTGGGAGCATGGAGACTAGATGATGAAATTTGTGCAGACAGTACTCTGAAGAATTACACTATAGAAACAAGTGATCTTCTTCCTGAGCTAACATGCGGTTCACTATTAGCAAGCAGAAACCTGTGCTCCTCCAAGGGCAAAAGGCCTACTAAAACATCACCCAGGAGAATGCAATGGCCTCTGGGACATAAACAAGCAGAAAGCAGTAGTAAAGGCACAGGTAAATCCTGTTGCCACTGAAATGGGCAGTCAGCACCAACATGACTGACGTCATCTAGGATCAAGCCAAAGAAAATGCCATATATATTTCTTAATGTATATCACTTTTGTCCATGACATTGCACACACAGAATAAAGACAACAGATTGGTATCTCTATAAAGATCTTTAGTCCAATCCAGCTTTATAAACATCAGGGTTGACAGCAAAAAGATGTTTTTGGGGAACAAGTCTAGTAGGCAAATAATTTCTTCTTACTAGACATAAGATGGGTGTTCGGTAATATGTGGAGCTTGCAAAAAAAAAAAAAAGATAGCATTCAAAGAAAGGCAGGCAATTACCCTCACTATCACCACAGGCCTAACAATATCTGCCTTTATGTTGGTTTTGGCTTGTTTAGATAGATTCCTACCACCATAACCATGGGATCAATGTTGCATGTGCTTACCATTAGGCTCTAGAGGGAAAAATGCCTGACTCACCAACTGAATCACGGGTCTTTTAGAGAGCTCTCTAAAGGCAAGCACTGAATGTCAGCATATGGACTTTAAGAGACAGAGGCAATCATAACCACTTTAAATTTGGAAGAAGAGAAGACGCTTCAGATTTGAGATGGATTTCTATTATCCTGAGAGGCCTGCAGACACTGTGTGCAGCAGCCTCAAATAATCTATTTGTATCTAAAGAACCCTATCGTCCAAATTAATTCCAGGCCAAGGCCTGATGGAATAGAACAGACAGTTTCTAACTCAGAAGTGGGAGGAGGGCCTAACATTCTTGTAAAAGCTATGTTCGGACTGAGAAACAAAGCTACATCACAGTTTTTCCAATGCACCATGTCTGAAAGAACAGGGAAAAAACCCTGCACACAACTCCTCCTCCCACCACCCACCCTGACTGAATTATCTCTAGCAACAAGCTAGTATCTTCAGGGGAAAAAAAAAAAAATATTTCGTAATTGGCTGCTTGTATTGAGCTGTTCTTCCTGGGCATAGGTCACTGACAAGGGCTCCTCAGTGAGACTTGTGTGGACACTATTCCACTAGGGTCACCAAGGATGCACAGGCAGAGTGAAATGATTCTACCTCTCCAGGGTCAGAAAGCTCTGTTAGCCCATTCATCTGACAGTGGTTTTAGTGTTTTAGAATAACATGCATCATGGTTTCCTCATACTGTTTTTTTTTGTTGCTTATTTTGGTTTTACCTGTGTAGACACAAGGCCAGCAGCATAATCTGGGGTAGCATTTTCTACTACCGTTTCTTCTTTGGCTTGCTTTTCCACAACTTCTGTATCTATTGCATAAAGACACAAGTCAGTTCAAGGAATTTTTCTGAAACATTGAATTAGATACACTTTTTTGAACAAATATAAAAAAATGCAGTTCTCAGTCTGTTAAAACATGCTTAAAGAGGTATAATCTGAAAGGCAGATACAGTAATCTTCATATACAATTGTATAATGAACCCATTTATGAACTGAACCACAATGTATCAAGACCAGGTTGGACAAGGCCTTGGGTGATATGGTTTAGTGTGAGGTGTCCCTGCCCATGGCACGGGGGTTGGAACTTGATGATCTTAAGGTCCTTTCCAACCCTAACTATTCTATGATTCTATGTATATCCATCAAAATACAGTAACTGAGTAACTAGGCAGAACTGGCTAATTTTGAAATATTAGAAAGCATCAAAACCTTAAGCAAAAACTGAACTGCAATTCTGGTTTTGTTCTGAGGCGGTACTTACTTTTTTTAGTGACAAATACAAAAAGGTTGGTTTTGAGGCTTCGTGTATCTTCCCAACATGGTTAAGTAGAGCACTGCACTGTCATTTGACTTCAGAGCAGCACATCAGGTATTATTCACTTAAGATCTCTCAGCCAGAATTTCAGACCACACTACACACTGTTTCAACATTATTTTCAACTAATTTCCTTGGCCATTCAGCCAGTAGAAGTAAGCAAAGTATCTCAGAACAGTACTGAAGCCAGTCACACACCTATATGCTGCCCAAAGCACAAGTGACTAGTTCAACCATTTCATGCAACTGAGCCAAGCTATTACCTAGACACATGGCAATGTGATTAGGAGCACTGGGGAGGGGGAAGTGAAAATCCTCTCTTAAAGCATTTTTTAGCCTTTTTTAAAGTTCAGCTGATGGTAAGTTTTAACAAATGAAGAACAGAATAGTATAAATCTAGACCCTACTTGCAGGTGTATTAGTAGCCTTTATAGGCAGCATGCTATACCGACCTAATGTCTTTCTTCTTCTCTTTGCTTCACGGCCAGCACCCACCATATCCAGCTCAGAGATATCTAGAAGCTAAAAAGACAGACCACAGAGAACTTAATAACCATTGCTTATCTCTCTATGTATTGTCCTTCATTTTTTTTTTAATATTTTGATACTTGATTCAAAACAGCATCAGAAATTCACTTTAGATAGGGGGGATAGCTGAGCAGGAAAACAAGAGGCTAAGAAAGAGTGCACCTACCTTTACTCCTCTTTCTTTGCGCAAAGGTGTTCTTGAAGGAGGAATAGGAGTTCTGTTTCCAGAAGAACTAAACACACTGGGTGCTGAAGTACTCCTGAAAGGAGCTTGTTTTGGTATTCCTTTGAGTGGTGCTTAAGGAAGATCAAAAAAGGCAACAACTGTAATATATGTTTAATTACTTACAAACAGAAAGTAAATGTTCTACAGCTTTTCCCCTTCTTACTAAACACAGTCCATCCCTTGAACATCAGGTGTTTATAAGTTGAAACTGTCTATAATACACTACATGTCCCTCAAAGGTCAGAATAGGTTTTACCCTTCAAACAAGGAGTAAAAGCCAATCTCTATGCTAATGCTTGCAACCCCATTCCAAATGAAGTAACCAAACACGTACACTGCTATCAAAATGGGTTTCTGCTACATACATTGATGCTTTCCTCACTTACAGCAAACAAAATCTGAACACAAACATATTGGGTACAAATGTTCTGAATCCAGTTACTGCCCAAGCTGCTCTTTGAACTGTAAGATCTAGCTACTTGGTGAGACTGTATTTAGTCAAAGACTCTTAGCCAAGCTTCTGCAGGGCTAAGGGCTTGTAAACTACTGGAAAGGTAAATCAGTGCTTCACACAGGGATCTGAAATTCTGGACCTGCTGCCTGCACAAGGAGGAGGATCCAATCTGTGTGTCCATTACAAACGGGAAAGCTGCTGTCTCAATACTTAAGAGGAACTGCTACACCTGTAAGAAGCAGTTTTCCCCAAACTTTACCCTATTACCCTTCTAGCTCATGCTCAATGTAAGTACTGATAACAGCATTCTTTCATCAACTACTAAAACACTGGGACACAAACATAGCTGTCAGATCTCTGAGCCTCCTCACTATCAACTATGTCCTGATACCCTACTATTAAGACAAACACAGAACTTAAGTCTGAGATTAGATACTCTCTACCCCCCTCTATGCTGCACTGAAAACCTTTTCACTGTAGGACAATCCTCCCTGACTAATGTAAGTTTCAGCAGAGTAAATCCCAGCTGATCCTATAGCTCAGATTTCCAGATACCACCTGGCTCTAAAGGCCAAGTCTAAGAACTTGCTTTATTAGTTCAACAGCTAAAAAGAATGCCAAGAATTAAAGGTCAGTTCCTATACTGGGACAATTTTTAGCTCAAATTACATCTACACTTTCTGCATTTCTTGTATGAATGTGTGGCTAAACTTTTGTGCTTAAAACCACATCTTAAACAGTACCCACACAAAGTACTTCACAGCTTCCAGCTGCCACACCAAGAAAACACTCTAGTTTTACACCTCAGCATCATACTGATGGTCAGAGAAGTTATAACTGTGCAGTGATTTAACGTACGTAACAAATTCTGAACTCTCCTCTTACTCCTAGTCAAAACACTTAGCTGAAAAATTCAAGCAGTTTGGGCATTTCAGCAAACAGTTGAAATCTATGAACACTAAGAATGATTATACATCTTTGTCATGCCCATTAAACAGAAGACACTGCACAGCCTTGGCAGAGAGCACACTGTCCCCTTTTCTTTCTTCATACAGAATTATACAAGACAGTTTCAGTCTACTTCACAGGATTTCGGAGAGCACAGCACATCACTGTGATCCACTCTACTCCCTTTTGGAGCAGCAGGGTTTAGTCAGGAGTTATTCCTGGCCTGATGCAAATTAAATTCTTACCAGAGTCTACAGGCATGATCTAGCTGTGCACGTTTTACAAGCATGGCAGATACACTTGCCATTTAAGAAACACCCCACATTTTTGTTCCTTCTGACAAGACACATGAGAAGCATTAAAATATCAGGAGAGAAAGAGGCAGAAAGGAAGAAATCCTTTGCATCAGAAGAATTGAAGAGTTTGTTAAAACTAGACAGTAATTTTATTCTCCATCAAGGCTATTTTATCAGATTTTCCTTCCAGGAAGTGATGAAAGTGAGCCATACTTGTTGTATCTATCTTTTTGACCAGGCCTCTGCCTTTGGCATGGAAAGGCACTCCTGCAGTCTTCTTGAGCTGTTGTGCAGTTTCTGTTGCTAAAAGAAAAAGGACTTTAGTTATTACAGCATTTATGCTGAAAAAAAAAACAAAAAACCCAACACCCAAACCAATACATTGCTTCTTATATAAAATGTTATAAGCTAATACATAGGAAGATGGGAATAGCAATAAAGAAAGAATAATACTTTAATTAAACCCTAGGTCATTTATGCAAAAAGTAAACACAGTGTTTGGAGAAGATGTAAAATCAACATGACTGTGCAACTGACAAGATGGTCCAAGCCAAAAGACATTATCAGAGTAGTCAATGTACTCGATGGAGACTGAAATAATTAGAAGAAAGTTCTACATAACTTCATAAAAAGTTACAGATCTTGTATTTAACCACAGCAACTACTCAAGTTACATCCAAGCAGCAAGCTGCTGCAATGGAATAGCAGCTACAGTACGCTATTTTAAGATTGCTTAGTTCAACCAGCTACCAATACCTGTATGTATACTCCTTGCCTTTCTTGGCTTTCACACCTGATATAGCCATACAGTGCAAAAGAAAGCAGCGATTAGCAGCTCTTCCTCCCTTTTGTAAAAACATATGGCAAAACAGAACTAGGTTCTTATTTCAGTATTGTTTCAGGAGCTTTAACCAAAGCAGTCCCTCAAGTCTTCACAACTAACTGTTAAATATACCCATAAGAGAGAGACTATAACTGCACTTCAAAAAGCTGCAACTGGTTGTATGTTTTGAAATCTGAACAGCATTTAAGTAAAGATTAGCATTTTAATATAATCTCAGCCAGAATGACTTGCACCTACTCTTCCATACACAGCAGTCTGTCAAAGAAAAAATATCAGCCAGCTTTTATAACGGAAAACTTTAATATTGCCATACTGGACACAAGATCAAATAGGAATGTTCCTTTCACCACTCAATCTTACCAACTAGCTGTAATACTACTTACACTTCTGCAAGAGTTCAGCTCTGAGAGTGGCACTTTTAGGTTTCCTTTTCAGCTGGAAGTGTTTCACTGGGGGAGTAAGTGGCCCAGCTAGTGTTGTCAAGGCATTTTTGTTTAAGTATTGGCATTCCAACGGCAACATAGCTGAAGTTTCACATTCACTTACTGCATAAAGAGTTAACACATGGGTATTATCACCTCTGGTAGCTAATTACAAAACATTTTACAAGTAGACTGTACAGATGTTTTTAAATGCTAGATGACTTGTTTAAATGCCAAGAGTAATTTAGCTGTAATTATTACACCATACAGAACCAGTTATTAGGAAGTTTGTTTTTTACATTAGCGTCATAAGAGCTTCCATGTTATTATACCTGGCCAAGTTATAGGAACTTTATACAGGCTACTATTGTCAGAGTAAAAGATAAATATGATTGAATTCTCACATTCCTTAATCACACATAAAAAGGAAGCTTCTAAACAAAATGCAAACCAAAAGTGTGAACAGATAAGTGACCATTTGTTTATAGTAAAACAAAATGCTTCCACTTCCAAGTTATTTCATTATTGCTCTGCTGCAATCCTTAATTCAACACTAGATCTGCCCATTGATGCCCAAGGGCTTTTTCTAGGCAACATGCTAAATCAAATCTATTGAAGAAGCTTTGCATCACCCATTTACTCCATTATTTGAAGCAGGGACTGTGCAAGTGCCTGAGCCAGTATTTTCACCTGCTGGTAGTCGGTAGCTACTCAGACGTAAGCAGCAGAGCTCTGCTTGGGCTCAGTCTCCCCCCCAACACCTATCATTTGATGCCTAGAGGAGGACTTCCAGCAGAGGTGCACCCCACCACAAAGGCAGTGCTTCCATACACTCACTCACACTGCAGAACAGAGCCTTACCGTCAGCTTTGGTACTACAAAATATGAGACTGAGCAATATACAAGAAACCCCTCAACTTCCTGCAGTAAATCAATTACCTATCAGTGCACATACAGCCTGGCTACGCTACTAATGAATCCACAGTAACTTGTGTGTTGCTCTTCACAAGCACTCAGGGTGATACCTAGCACATAAATTCTGATGATGTGGAAAAGATGATTTAAGAAGTTACCATTTCTAAAATATCACAGTTGCCAGTCCAGTAACATGCCAGATCATGAACTGTGGTAGTTGAGACAAGACATGCTGCTTGTCCTGATACTAATTCTGTTTAGAAAGACTGAATGAGAAGCAACAGGTTATTCCTGAAAAAGGGCGTATTTCTGTAATTCTCACCAACAGAAAAGGCTTACCTTTTTCTCTAAGCTCTCCTAAAATATCTTGAACATTGGGATTCTGTTCTTCAAGATCAAGGTTAAGGGAGCCAGTATCTGGAAAGGATTTTAAAATATCAGCTACCATTAAGACCCAAGGGTCTGAATCCAAGGTAGCAAGCTGGACAATTTCAGTCAGTGCCCCTTTCATCTACCAAAAAAAGAAAAAGAAAATCAGCCAATTGGAAGCAGTTTTAAACAAGTTATAATTGGATTTTTTATTATTATTTTAAAAACACACTTACATAAACATGCACAATGTTCTACTACTGGGGAAGGGAAGAGGGATATTGCTTCACAGTTATACATTAACTCTATAACTAAGGAAAGAATGAACCAAGGTAACATTTTTACATTGCTTTTGGTCAATCTAACCCAAGTTTGGTTTGAGCTTTTGGCAGCTCAAAGCTTTGTTTAGCACTGAACATATTTACTAAGAGCAACAGGCCAAGTGTCTCCTTACATTCTACACTTAAACTCCCAATGTACCCACACCTCACATCCAGTGATAAGAATATGCAACTAGAATACAAGCTATATAGAACAGGCATCTAAACGAAGATGTGCCCCTTCCTAGGCCACAGAATAATTAAGCACACATACCATATTTGCAGCATCTGAACATAAACTAAAGTCATCAAAACTTTACTTAAGCTTTCTACAAAATGACATGTGTTTGGCTTACTGCACTGTCTGACAAAAGCTACATATTATAGAAGTAAACACAACCCTCTAACATAGAATCATAGAATGGTTTTGGTTGGAAAGGACCTTAAAATCATCCAGTTCACACTCCCTGCCATGGGCAGAGACATCTCACACAATGACCATGACGCCCAAGACTCTGTCCAGCCTGGCCTTGAACATTGCCAGGGATGAAGCATTTACAAGTAACAAGATTTTCCGTCTACCCAAAATTTCTATAATCAGAAAAAAAGTGCCTGTTTTTTTTCTTTAAGCACCTATCTTAAAAAGGGGAAATAATGCACAAGATTTACTGTCACAGGGTTTTTTTTATTTTAATCACTAATCTATATGTCTGTTGGCACTAGGCAATGAAATAAAAATCAAGGTAACTATAGTCAAAGGTTACACAGTGAATCTCTTAAATTCATGGTTTTGTTCCATTCACATGTATTCTTAACCCTCTCCCCCGCCCCCCCAAATAAACACTGAACATTTGCCTTTCCACCACCCCCAAGTAAACTTTCATGTAAGCCTTAACGCATTATTTTCACAGAGCTTAAGATGTCTGAGGTATACTGTGCATCTACCAAGCCACAAAATGTAACAGTAAAATTACATGAAGTACCTAAGACATACTATCTGTATGGTATTAACACTAACGAATTTACAAACAAGTGCAAGAAAGTACTTGAATTCTGATTTTTCATAGCCCATGGTGGCACACACAGTTTAATTACAACCTACATATTTCCAAACAAAGGGGGGAAAGCAAGAAATTTATCTTCACCTTTATCCTGTATTTCTTTCCCTTTGTTCAGAACCAGCTTTATCTTACATTAAAAAGTTTAATAGCTTACTGTACTCATGCAACTAAGAAAAGTTAAATTCCTGCTCTTCATTTTCCCATGCAAGCACTTTTTAAAGCTTAGAGGCAGACAAATATTGAAATTTCTCAACTCCTTTCACCCACACAATGTTACTGCCCTCTCACTTCAGGAAGGTTTACACATGCACTATTGGGGCAGTCTGTCCTTCACCCCTTGCATGTTTAAGTGCTCATAGCAATGTGCTTGTGAAACACACCAGATCAGTTAAGCTGACCAAAACCCAACATCTTTAGATCTTTAAGCTTGATCAGGCCCTTGGTGTGGCTGGCTATAGTCACATAAAAACCAGAACCACAGAGTGGAGCAGATGGTACAAGTTACCATGTTCAGCAGCACTATAGATTTGCTTTGGATTAAACTGACATAATCGTGACCACGCACAGTTTAACGTGCTCAGGTTTAACCAACACTTACCCAATGGAGAGAATCAATTTCTAAGGTTCTAGTCTTTGTTGTCCTCCACTGCTCACTTCTTTCTCAGTAAATGAAAACCCCACCTAGACTCCACACAGACTTGTCCATCTCTCTATTCTAACCCTAAATTGCTCATCAGAAGACACTTCTACTGCAGAAGTTGTGTGTGAATATTATCTAAACAAAGTCCTTTATTCTCCTAATTTGTAAGAATTACAGTACTGATTTCTGCAATACACCTGCAAATTTAAAGCTTGCCATGACAGCTGGTAAAGCTGTGGTTTATTTATAGCTCTTTTACAAGCTTTTATCTGAACACCACTAACGTAATTTCCTCCATCAAAGCGCACTCAGGCAATAATTGGAGGAAAGATTCCTCTTATATCCTCCCATTTTAGCCCTCTCTTCTGCTCCATAAAACTATCTGTACCAAAAACTGTACAGAGCTACATGCTTGTATTACATATGTTCCTACGGAGATCTTGTCTGGGCACATTACATCCATGCTGCTCTCAGGGTAGCTAAAGATTGAGCTACCTACTTGTGCCATAACCTACTGCTTCATGTGACTTTGGTTCCTTCAAGAAAGGAACCCAGAAACAATTTATTTGCCCAGTGTTAGGTAAACAACATTATAACACAGCCTTGTGGGAGAAAGCACATGGTGAAAGAACAGGCACTGTCATACACAGGGAAGCAAAGCACACTAATGTGTACTGTAAGTTAACCAGAGACCTTGCCTGAGTAGGGGTTTGCATTTAACAAGCCTGGATTTGAGTTTTGACTCAGGTGTGTCTTCAAATGGCAATTTAAATATAATGATCCCAGTTCACTGCTGAACTGGCAGCTGAAAAAAAAAAAAACCATCTGTGGTTTGAGAATGCATTAAATGCAACTCAAAATAACATAATCCTAGCTACAGCTTTTCTATTACTTTACAGAGCACAGGCATAACCCCAAGCTCTTAACTGTATAAGATTGCAACACTGGGTCACTAAGAGTCCTATTAGCTCCAACCAGTGCCTTGTAAAGCATGAATGTCAAGATCTGATGCAACATGTTCTGGCATTTGTCTCGTCTAAAACTTAAGGATCCCAGGTATTTTTCTCAGCCTCCTGGCACACACACACACACACACACACACAAAAAGCATAGGATGCAACTAGAAGCATGTAACAAGAAAGGATCAGGCAGGATGGAAAGAGCCTGGGAACTGAGACAAAGGGAGATTAACAGTGGCTATGCAGGAAGAATACACAAACAGCACCATGGGAAGGGATAAAGAAGGAAATGTTACCAGAAACATGTTAAGTGATAACTCAAAGATGACTTCTTGTAATGAATTCCCATTCATTTGCTTTATATTATGCCTAAATTAATAGATGTTTATAATATGTTTAGACAATTGCCCCTTCCAATAACAGTTGCCTAATGGAATCACAGAATGGTTTGGATTGGAAAGGACCTTAAGATCATCCAGTTACAACTCCCCTGCCATGGGCAGAGACATCTCACACCAGACCATGCTGACCGAGGCTCTGTCCAACCTGGCCTTGAACACTGCCAGGGATGGAGCATTTACCCCTTCTTTGGGCAGCCTGTTCCAGTGCCTCACCATTCTCACAGTAAACCCAACCAAGTTTTAATCTTTCAGAGGCCACAGAGATATTTAATATGTATCTGTATCATTATACAGCATTTTCATTAAGCTAAAAGCACTGGACAGTATCAATAAATACAAACCCAGAATGGCTCAAATATCACTATTGTATGTGGTTTGTATTTTAATCATGAAAAAGAGTAGAAGTGGCCAAGAGTAGCATTACATTAAAGTATACCATTACATCACAGAAAAATTCAGAACACCAAATGCAGGCCAGAAAGATGCCGGTCCTGAACACAGAGGGAAAGACAAGTGCTATGTGCCCTTTTATTCCTTTGCACTAATACTCCACAGTCCCCACTTGTATGAGGACTCCTGATTCACCCACGCAAAAAAAAGACGCATTCTGGACCTTTGCTCTCTTGCAGCTAGTGTAATAAAAGAGCAGGTCACTGCTGGGATAGGGACCTTCCTCTCAAGGTAATTCAGAGAGAGGACTGGAGCTCAGTCTTCATTCCAGACTTGGTTGTAACATCACAGTCTAACCCTGAACAAATAAATTAGACATTGGCACAAAATGAAAACTCACACTTGTCACTGTGAATCACGTTAACATGAATATAACATACAGAATAAACAGAAGTAACTGCTCTGCCAAATGCACAACTAAAACTCCAGTCAGCAGCACGCTGAGCTTGAGGCATCATTGCAAATGAGCACAATTATCTAGAAACAAACTTAGCAGACAACAAAACTGGGGGGCAGGAGTGAGTGAAATCTGCCCTAAGAATTACAGTGGGAAAAGGTATTTTTGATAACTGCCTCCAAACCACACTTAAAATTAAAATGGGAGCCAATTATTCTTATTAGTCAGCAGGAACAAACAAGCAGTAATGAGGTTCACAGCATGATAAAAATTTAGGTTTATTACCTATCCCACAGGAGCATAATGAGGATTAAGGCACTTACATCTATACAATATTTGGACTGTTGAATGAAAACATTAGGAAAATTGAAGGATATTACATTGCAGGGGGAAAAAAAAACACTTAAGGACTGTGCTTTCCAATAGAGCTCATTGAAGATTCACTTGTCTAGACTGAAGCTTTCCCAGAGATTTAGAAAGGACCATCAGCAAATTAAACCCCTTCTAAACCCCAATACCATGACACTTTTCCCAATTTCCACATCACTTTTTACTCAGCTGTCTGCTCCCAAATGGTTTCCATATTATTCTGTGCCTCCGTGAAAAAAAAACAGAAAATGGGGGGAGGGCAGAGTTTTGAAGAGAAGAAAACCAAAGTCCAATCTATCATCTAGAGAGGGGAAATACAACTCAACACTTACATAACAAGCCAGTAACATATCCTGCATCCACTATCAAGATTCCCAAAGTTTTACAAACTTGATGCAATGTGTTTTCCAATACTATTAGGTTTCCAAATGCCAGCTCAGTGCTTCTCACACATGATCAATACAGACTGGCACATGGCACAGAAAACACATATGACTTTCCAAAGAGGCTAATAAAGTGATTTGACAGTTAAGTTTAATCATTTTCAGATATGGGAGTGATATCCAAATGACAGACTTCACCTCCAGTATCCTACACCAGTGTATTTCTGCTAGCAAAGACACCATGTTCAGCACTCCACAATACACTGAGCACAGATACCGCGGAGAAGCGCCCAGAACAGTGCACCTAGGCTGAACACAAAACCACATACAGATCTGTTCTGGATATCATACCCAAAGCCTGTTAAAATGTCAAAAATCCTGACAGTAAGATGCAAGATGTAGCACATATTCACAAATATAATCTATTTTAGCAAACCCACCACAAATGATGAGTATCCTATAACACAACAGGCCTTTCTGCCAGCAGTTTGGTTACGCCAGCTGGTTTTACCATGTACAGAAGGAAGTCTGTAAGGCTCACAGCACACCTACTACCAATGTTATGTGTTTCTGCCTCACGAGTTCTATTTTTTTTTTTTTTTACAATTTTAAGTCCTTCCTCTCAGGACAAAAATCACATCCCTGAGGTACTTTGCAAAGGACTGAAACATGCTAAACCCCTAGATCTCAAGTGTGCTCCATTTACAATGAAAGATTCAACTTCTGATTGAAGTCACAAGCTCTACCAAAGAAGTGAAAAATCCCACAATATTTTTTTGTTACAGCAGTAACAAGGGCTTTATATTTGGAACATGACAGATCCCTTTAACAATACACTAAAACACACAGCAACTGACTTGCTCTTCTTTACGTACACTTCATGGCTAAGAAAAGCTCAGATCAAGTGAAGATGCTTTGTGCTATCTTCCTCAGAATTAGATTTAAAAGTTCTTTTACCCACTCAGTGAACACTCTTCCACCATTCCAACTAATTATTTCAGTTTGCTTGAATGCTGTTCTCTCAAAGAGTTGACAGAAGTGTTACTTATGAAGGTCTCTAAGCTCTTCTGAGCTCTTTTCTTCTTCAATCTAAAACCACCACTAACTTGTTGGCTTTTTCTGAACACTGCAATATTCTTTTCTTCCAGGCTACTTGGATTTTCATGCTACTTCAGAAGCATTTTGCCTACTCAGAATTCACATGAGCATATGCATAGCTCCCCATCCCCCTTTCTGGCCTTGGTTTTGTTTGTCCAAAACACAACTGCATTTGTCACACAGAAGGAAGACATCTTGTGCACTGGATAGGCACTGAACATGAACGTCACGTTTTAAAAATTAAAGCAAACAAGATGAATTTTCTTTCTTTTGAGTGACACCAGTTACATGTAACACTGAACAATCACACAGATGCATGTGGCAAGACAAACAACATGCACTGAACTAATGCTTGTGCATTTTCAGCTTAGAAGTACATGAAAGCTGAGCACACAATAATCCAAGTTACATATGCCCTCCCCACACCCTGCCTAGTAAATATATTAAGCTTAAGCAGCAGCTGTGCCCTAGCCAAGAATGAGACTGTTGCAAGCACAGCTGAGGATACTCTACACAAGGTGAGGAATAACTACACACCAGCTCCATGACTGTTACAAGGAACCAATACCATACATGGTGGAAGTAGGAGAGGAATTCCTCAAACCTGGCTAAAGAAACTTAAATGTCTCCCAGTCATTCTCCAATTACTGTCTCAAACATCAGTAGCTGCCTACTGGGGAGAATAAACCAGCTGCAGATGATGTATGGTCCAGGGCCAAGCGAATAATCTTGCAGAGCCAGCTCAGACTCGAGCCAGCCAGCTTTATTAGCTGGGGTAAGACAATAAAGGAAAGTACCATCTGCTCCCAGAAAGGTAAAGAGAAGCAAAAACTAAACCAAAACATGGCAATTTCCCTCAAGCAAGACCTGACTGCAAGAAGTCAGGGGAAAGCACCATTCAGGGCAGACCCCAGATCTTCCAGTCCCAAAGTTTCAGCACTTGCTGCTGTCCTTCCTAAAGCTGAGATGTTCTTGGGACACCTACATAGCTGCCAGGGAAGAGAGGGAAGGAAGCCTAACACACACGACCGTTCATAAACGCTCCTGCCTCTCTGTCCTACTCCTACCACAACCGCTGCCTCAGAAAGCTCTCTTCCCCAGGGGCACCCAAACTATCAAAACAGAGCCCTACAACTACGAGTCTGCGTGGACGTGTAAGATGGGTTTCAGGTCGAAACTGTCTTCAGAAGACCAGTATCAACCAGAGATTCCCCGAAGAGCAGGAAGAGGAGGAGCAGCACCAAAGCCTCCACTCACTCCCTTATCACTGGGAATCTGAGCGCTTTCCCTCGCACCAAGTCCTCCGCGCAGGGCCTCAACAAACCGCTCTACCAGCCGAGACCTCCCTGCTCCCACTCCCCGACCATGAAGCGGGGATGTCTGTGGGACCAGCCTCACTACACCCTGCCCGGCTTCCCCCCTCAGCAACCGCCCGCTCCAACCGGGGACAGCGCCAGGCCTCTGAGGGACACGGCCCCAGGGTCTCCCTCTCCAGACTCCATGTGCGGGCGGGGAGGTGGTGCTGGCGCTGCCCCTTTTTCCCCTCACATCATCTCCGACCTCCTTTTCCCCTTCATCCCGCTTCAGTTCATCTTCCCGCGCAAGCTCCTACACAGCCCTCACCTCATCCACCGCCCGGCGGGGCAGGTGCAGCATCCCCAGGAGTAGCTTCAGCTTGACGGCCGAGGAGAGCCCGTGAAAACAGAGGCGGATGTTGTCGATCACCGAAGCTGTGAGCAGCGAGGCAATGCTCGGCGGCGCCCACAGCTCGTCTGTGGAGCCCAGTTTGTTGTGCAGCCACAGGCCAGTGTCGCTCTCCCGCATCGACGCCATCTTGGGAGCGGAGCAAAAAAGAGGGGATTCTCAACGGGCATTTTATGAAGACACCTAAACGGAGGAAGGGAGGGGGCAAGGACCCCTGCGGGTCGCCGTCTTGTTCGTAAGCCAAAATGGCGGCGTCCAATGAGGTTGCGCTAGAGAAGGTGGAGATTCAGCCGTAACCTAAAATGGCGGCGCCCAGGCGGCGAAAAAGAGCGAGTCTATTCTCATCTCCCGTTCGGATGCAAAATGGCACCCACCACAGCTTCTCTGCCGTACTGCAATATGGCGCCGCCTCATTGCAGGGAAGCGTCTCTGCCAGCCCCGACTCAGTGTCCCCCACGGCTCGCTCTAACTTTCAAGGGCTCTGCGGGCCGATTACCGGGAGCGGGGTGCCGAGCAACGGCGGGGTCGGGCGGCACAGCCCGCTGGCAGACCCTCCCCTCCGAGGACGCCAGCCTCCCGCAGCCGGCTGCTCCCTCCTTCCCCTTCCTGCCCGGCGCCGCCTCACTGGCTCAGCCGTTGAAGGCGGGAGAAGCGCTGAGGGCCCTGCTGCCGGCCGCTCTTCCTCCCGGCGGTGCGTTTGGTAGAAGCACATCTTCCCTCACAGCGCCCATGTCCCAGTGGCGCGGGTAATCCCTCACTCCTTTCACTCTCCCCCTGGTCGGCCTGCGTTGAGGTCTTCTGTTTCTCCAACCTAAAAAGGGGAGCTTATTAGGGCTAATGGCACCTTAAAGCGCACCTCCTCCGTAGTTTCCTCTTGCTGGTGCGGTGTTAGATGGCGAGTCCCCCCGGTGCTGCTGCGATACGACACAAAGTGAAGTGCCTTTTTCATCATTTCCCCCCCCCCCCCCCGAGGTTTTCTGTGCTGGGTGCTTCAGAGGTGCAGGAGGTTACCTCCGTGTCTAACACAAGCGGCAGGCACTCAGAAATCAGGGGGTTGTACGCGTTATTTGTATTCCCTCCTGATTCTGCTCATTGCGATTCGAATATAAAACATTCATCTATTGCCGAAATCCCAGAAGACTCCCGAGTTTTTCAAGTGTGCCATAGATGGTTCACTTTAGTGTCTAAGTGGAATTAAAGCACAGGAGTTCCAGTGCAGAGCAGATTCAACCCACTCAAGTTTTTGAATGTAAACGTTTTCTCTACAATCTGATTTCTGTGGGAGAGCAAAGCGGTTGCTGTGGAGGTGCTTTCAATCTCCTCAATATGGCATTGTGGAATGTTACATTCTTGTTCCCAATTTTTACTAATATCCAAAACTTAGTGTCTGCAGCTGCTGGGTGCTGTGAAACACTGACTTTTATCCGTGTAGAAGTGTAGTTTTTATGTGAATAAATAACATTGTTGGTTTTTTTTTCCCCACAACTATAATTTAAAATGTGTGTGCATTTGCATACACATTTTCTTGGTACTATCAATGTGTACTCAAATGTGATTTGCTGGGGAGGGACTCTTCATCAGGAACTGTAGTGATAGGTAATGGGTTAAAACTTAAACAGGGGAAGTTTAGATTGGATATAAGGAAGAAGTTCTTTACTGTAAGGGTGGTGAGGCACTGGAATGGGTTGCCCAGGGATGTTGTGAATGCTCCATCCCTGGCAGTGTTCAAGGCCAGGTTGAATGGAGCCTTGGGTGACATGGTTTAGTGGGAGGTGTCCCTGCGCATGGAACTGGATGATCTTCAGGTCCTTTCCAACCCTAACTGTTCTATGAGTCTATGATTTTAAGAGAAAACTCTATATACAGACAGCTGACATTTTAGAGTAGCAAAATCAAAGTTGAGATGGTTTGTCTAGTACATAAATTGTTCCATCCAGAATTGCAGTTGACCTCTGTCTCAGTATGTTAGTTCAGTACATAGTTATGGGAATAATTATTTATCCATGAGTAACTATTTATCTGTTAGGGTGTATAGAAAAACATTGTAAATAAGAGATGGGATGAATGATTAACTAGAAAGCAGAATCGGAAATGAAGAAAAAGGTTTAAAAACAGCTGTAAAGGGTTGGTATTAGTTCAGACATGCAATTAACATGTCACTATAATAATCTCCATTATACCCAGCTGATTAAAATAGGTACCATATTGGTAAGACTTAGGTACATTCTTGACTGCAAAAAGTGCAAAACCCCATTGAGTTCACTGGAACTGTTTGTTTCATGGCAGGAGAGCAAGCTTTGTATTACCTGAGGTAGAGAACATGTGTTCCTGTACCCTACATAGAGTACAGTCTCTGCTGTGAGACAGCATTCTGAAAATGAAGTGCAAAGTGGTACAATTGTGACAAAATTCCCCAAACCTTTTGGTGTGGAATAGCTTAATAGCTCACCTTAAACTGTTTTCTGCTGTCAGCTACTTTTGATCATGTATAATCCATGCAATAGTGTAATTACAACAAAAAAATCAGTTAAGCAAGGAAAGCAAGCAATGTTCTTACCTTTGAATGAGAGGAGAAAAGTAACCAACTCCTTTTAAAGGTGGGTTGGAGGAAGTAAATCAGAGAACATGCAAAGGTTTGCACAGCTGGTTGTCTTCGAGCGGTAGCTAACACAGAGAATTAACCTGGTTCAATGAGATGGCATGAACATGTTTTGAGCATCAGACCTGGTAAGTGGTACTGCATAAGTCAATGCACAGTGTGCGGTTGTACAGCCTCGCTGTGCCAGTTCAAGTGGACTGAATGTGTTTTGAAAGAGTGACTGTGTGTGGGGTTAGGTACTGGCTTTCTTGGGCAATGCCCAATGCTTGGGAAGCAAAGGGAGTATTCCTACATACTTTCTTTGTTCCTATGCTTTCCTCAAGGCATCTATTTTTGGACTCTGTCAAGTGTTAAAGCACTGAGCTGCATGGCTTTCTGGTCTGAGCTACTGTAATCACTTCTATTTTCTTATCTGAAGTGTGACTTGAAAAGAGAGCCTATTCTGTGATGCCTATCTGGAATATAAGGTTTTGCATAGCCACTTTGGCTCCAGGCCTATCACCTGCAAATTTGTCCCTATCAGCTGTTAACTGAATGGGCATGCAGGAGCTGTGGAGATGAAGACAAAGTGCCAGCTGGCTGTAAGAGCATGCTTTTGTCCTCTCTAGTTACTAATAAGTACCTTAACTGTCTGTTTGAATATAATAAAGCTTTATTTTATGATTTTTTTTTTTTTTTAGTCTGAATTTTGCTTAGCTTGAGTAGTGATTTTCAGAGTAATATGGCAAATAGAAAAGTGTTCATTCCATAGGGATTCCTGGAGCTAGAAAGGGAATAATTGATCTCACTGGAGGTGTTTTATATCCCACATGATGTTGCATTACAGTTAACTGTCTGCAGATGTTTTCTCCTCTAAGTTGCAGGTCCCTTTTTCAAAGTTGGTGGTGTAAAATATCAAGTTGAATATGAAATTGAGTATCAAGAGTTACCACATTCTACAAGACAGACTGGGAGGAGACACCCTGGATTCACTTGTCCAGTTCTGAAGTTATTTGAATAAAACCCAGACTTAGGTAAAGATTCATCTTTCTGAATCCATTTTATAATTGTTTTAAGAGAGATATGACTTTATCTCACACTAAAGCCGGTGCTCCAGGAATTTCCCAACCTGCAGTTTGTCTTATTACATGTTGAAAATATGTTACAGGGGTAGAGCCTGGAGTTTTCCAGCTTCTGTGCAAAGCAGCCTTGCATCTTAGCTGGGCACCCAAGTGAAGGAGTGTTGCAGTGGTAGGCGGACATTTCAGGTTGGTGTTGGCATTGAGCTCAGTGAACAAACAAGAAGCTGATTTATTGTGTTTTAGGAAGCGCTGAGGCATGTGCAATTAACACAGCTATAGCATTAGCAGTGCTAACTCCCACTGGCATCTCGTCCTGCAACTGTATGGCAGTTTCCGAGCCAACAAGGCTTTAGGCTGTGATTCAAGCCATGAGGACAAGGTCAGCCCAAGAAGGTAAACAAAGCAGTAGATTGTGTATTACTGTATAATGCACCTTCCTGCCCTCCCAACATTTCCATTAAGGTTGAATAGCTGAGCTTTTCTGCAGTGTTATTTTCACTTTCATGCTTGTAACTGGAGTGCTAAATACTGCAACTTTTTAGTCCATTCAGTATTTCAGTATGTTTTAAAGTTCAGTTTCATAGGTTTTCGAAGCATAATAAGAGGACAAATTTTATCCTGCAATGTCAGGTTGGCATACAAGTTGTCTGCATGATTAAACCTTTAGAGCTGTCAGGGGCACTAATGGAGTCACTATTACTATGAACAGGCTTATACCCTGTATTTTAAGTAGTGCCAGAAGTTTGCCAGTGGGTCTAAGGTGTGCGTAATTTTAAGAAAAATCCATTTCACTACCTTTACATACACGTTTAAATTATCATTAAGAATAGATATTTTATAAAATGGTATTTATTGTCAGTTTTAGTATCTGTCAACACATTTTTATACAGATTCAGTCCGTACAATGCTGCTTGTTATGAGTTTATGCATTTTCATGTTGTATGGGTGTATAACTTTGTATGGTGGTTTATTTGACCCGTCTTAAAACTTTGCTGTAGTGATGGGATCTGAAAGGAAATACTGGGAATTTACTCAAACAAAACCAGATTATGTGACTTCCTCAAGTCAAATGGGAAGCTTGTTTGTGGTAACCTCTTGTGTCAGCTGTGACACAGCCAGCTACTTTCCCTGGCAGGCAAAGGCTCTTGAAACCAATAGAACTCTATTCAGGCAGAAATAAAGATAAATAAAGATAAAAGCCATGAGAGGTGTCCTGGATACATCTTCTCTTGTGAATTGGTTTGATAGCCAGTAATTATTGCATCTGGTTACCTGTGTCCAAGATTACGCTTATGCTTGCATTGCCGTCATACCCTCTTGCAACTTCAACCATACGATTCTGTGACTATTTTTTCCCCCAAATGAACTTCAAAATGTTGTAGTGATTTGAAACCTAAGATGATAAAGGCCCATGAAGAGTGATGTCCTTTCTGTCAAACTAGTAATTTCCCTTCTGTCTTGCTCTAAAGCAGTTTCATTTCATGTGCTGCCATTCTTGGGCTCTGATGTCTACCAGTGGCTAATGGGACCTGACAATGGAAGGTTATCAGCACTGAAGAAACAATTTCCTTGAAGTCTCTGCAGAGCAGCATACCTATGTGACAGGTTCCATCCTTGAGGAAACAGCTATCCTTGGAAACTGCCCTGCTACTCTCTCCAATCTCTGTGTGTTACTCAGCACCAGCTAATTGGCATGGTGGTACTACATCTTCCTTATGTTTGCCCTGGCTTCATTAGCATTCTTCTGCTTTGAAGAAGGTGCAGGGCCTCTGCGGTGGTTAATGGGACTTCCAGATTTCATTTGAGTCTTATTTGCTTCCCAGGTTTGACCTCAAAGGTCATCAAATGGGTGTTTGTTCTTGGGGCTGGTTGGCCTGGCTGGAGAGTATTCCTTCAGCTTTTTCTGGACATCTCCTATAGCCATTGCTGCTGCTTCCACTAAGGTAGCAGCAGTTACCTTTGACACCTCATATGCTGCCTTTCAATCTTGATTTTATTAAGTCTTTTATTGTATTATTTTAACAAAAGAAGGCATTTAGGTAGTTATTTAAAACCCATGAGTGCAGAGCTCAATTACCTTCTCAATTGCTTTTTAATAAACAAGAACATAGTGTGAGCAGTACAAATAACATTAATCAGACAAAACCATGTGCAAAATTAAAACCCATTAGGGGTTTTAAAAAGCCACTAGGACCTGAAACACAAAGTGCTGACCGCAAATGAACTCATTCTTTCAAAGCCATATATTTGTGCATGTGTGGGGCTTCAAATCATCTCTGCTTAGGATGATATGACCAAACAGTAGAAGGGCTTTGCTTTGTAGATAAAGGATTCACAGAAATAATTCAGGATCATGTGTTGCTTGAAATCCCATGGCACACACTGTATAAAATGTGGTATTGCTGTTTTGCTAAAAGCAGTGGTGCTTCTGAAAGCAGCCATCACAATGAAACTGTGCTGCAAAATGAAGGGTGTTATAGGCAGAGGTATTAGGGCACACTGAGACAGTGCTGTGATCTTTGACAAGGAAGTCACCAAGTTTTCAGAGAAGATTCTTCATTACCTCCAGGGACTTTGTTTGCCAACACCCTTGTATTTCCGTCCTCTTTTCTTTCTTTTATTGTTTCAGAAACTGTTCTTTATCTTCTTTCATTTTTTTTTCACTGTCTATGCATGCAGAACTCAGGATTGTAGGACTGGATGAGATCTATAGCACTACCTGCCGTCATGTGCAACAGTATTATGTCAGTCTTTTAATGAACTATTAAACTCCACTTTGCAACTTGTTCATTGTTTTACCCTGCTACTGAAGGCAGAAAACTACTCCAGAAACTCCCTGCTCTGGCAAGGATTGCTGCCTTAATCTCCCAGCTGCATTATGCTGGGAAAAGCTACTTTTTTTTTTTCTATGAATATTCGATAAACATTTAGTTAAACTAGATTTTTTCAGCCTCTGTGGAAAGTTTTGCTCTGTTGTAATAACTATGGGATAAATAATATACTACCTGTCACGCCTCTCAGTGAACCTAGGGTGAAGTCTGCTTTACTTGCAGTGAGGGAGCACTGCTGACTTAGATGGGCTCATGCACAGCCTGATACTACCATAGAATCATAGAATCATCTGGGCTGGAAAAGACCTTTAAGATCATCAAGTCCAACCATTACCCCAGCACTGCCAAAGTCACCACTAAGCTGAAGGCCTCATCTACATGTCCTTTTCATGGGCTGATGCCCAGCCAGTTTCCTGCGTGTCCCGATGCCTGGGGTCATCCTCTGTTAAATCTGAGGTATCTGTTGCCCTAATCCTCAAATTGACTGAGATCTCTCTGGATTAAGTCCTGCTAGTCCTCATGTCAGCCACTCCTTAATTTGGTCTCCATAAATCTGCTCTGGGTACATTTTGTGTCATCCTCTGGGCCTCAGATCAAGATGCTGCACACTGTGTTCTACACTACTTACATGTCAAGTGTTCGTTTTTACTGGTTGAGCCTGGCCATCCAGCCAAGTTTCACACCATCTGACAGGCTGGTGCCCCAGCTCAGGCTTTCTCAAAAACCCCCGTTTCTTTGTCACTGTATAAATTAAAGTAGAAGAGGACTGAAAATTTGTAAATCTTTTTGGCATAGATCCCACACTGAGCACTTGGAGATTTAAAAGCCCAGGATGCATAGAAAGGGCATACTAAAATATCCAGACAGGGATTATGGTACCTTAACGTTGTATCATAGAGCCATATTGTACCGTATGTACCTTATTCCACTGTTGAGAGACTCTGTGTTATACTGTTTCAGTATTTAAAGAGTGGCTACAAAGAAGATGGAGACTCCCTTTTTACGATTAGTCACACGAAAAAGATGAGGGGTGATGGCACACATTATTCCTGGGGACATTACAACTGGATACAAGAGAAAATTTTTCTCAGAACAATCAGCCATTGGAATAATCTCCCCAGGAAAGTGGTGGATTCTCCAACATTGGACACTTAATAGTCAGCTGGACAGGGTGCTGGGACATCTAGTCTAGGAAAAGCTTTGCCTGGGAAAGTTAGACCAAGATGATGCTGGAGGCCCCTTCTAACCCAGAATTCTATGATTTCATGTATGATGTGGCTGGATGTTCTAGGTGGGATTTTGGAGATGTAGGCATTTGGGCCTGAAAGTCTTCCCATATTTAAGAGTCACTGGAGAGCCTGGATTTCACAGTCCTTATCTGCTTGCTATGGCTCCTGGTCAGTATCAACACCGGTAGTGACACAAGATAGAAGGACTTGAATTTAGAAGTTGATAACTTCCACAGATAAAATTTTCTGCTATTAATCTTAGTTACTGATCCAGTGAGCTTTCCAGAGTTACTGCTGAGGTATTGCTCACTCTCATAATTGAAAGAGAGATTACTTAACAGCTGTATTTGCTTATGTTCTGATTGTTTTCTTTATTTGTTGGTATTTACTTCTGAATTTGTGCAGCTTGCTGGCCAGGATTCCAGGGGAATAGCGTGTCCTCCTTTTCCAAGGACAGCGAAATCAGGAGCTGAGTACCAGCACACTGACACACAAGGCTTGGATGTACAAACACAGGTCAGCAGGAATGGGAACATGTCAGAAACTGGACCACCAGGAGTTCAGGCTGTAGAGGCCATCGGTAAGTGTGATGTAAAGGAAATCATTTGCTGCAAATCATGAATCATAAAGTTGTCCAAATTCACCCACAATAAATGTCAAATGCATATATGCTTTCCAGCTGGTCTGAATAAACAGCAAATGTCAGTGCCTGGTGATTAAGATCTCTAACATTACTTCAGATATTGCTTTGAGAACAGGAGTCATTTTGAAAACCACAGATCACAGTGTGCTCCTCCAAAGAGCATGGTAAGATATGCAAAACTGCAGAGTCTGCCTGAAATCAAAGCTTCTGTTATGGTTTAAGGGACACCATGAACTTGAACTGTAGTAACTGAAAGATAAAATGAACTAAAAAGCTTTCCAAGTTTTTTCATGCCAGTGATTTTTTTTTCCACCTATTTTTATGTTTTTACATTGGAGCTTTAAAATGTCTTATTTTTGCTCTTTTCATTGCTATGAGGAAGATCCAAATAAGTAGAGGAAAATCACTAGCTTTAGAGCTATGTAGAGAACAGTGAAAATTACTACAAATCTTCTGTTCTGTGTGAGTTCTAAGTTATTTTTGGCTTTATTGGTGGAGTTCCAAATGGCCGTGTTTTATTATGTCATTTCAGATGTCCATTTGTTTGTTAATGTTTATCAACCATAATGAAGTGGTTTTTGTCAGTGCTTTTAAAGTAGTACTTTGGTGATCTATAAGAAAAGTTAAGCTTGTAGGAAGACATTTCTTCTATTTTATCAGCTATAATTGGTGAAATAAACAAGCTTTCAAGCTTACAGTCCTTGTATTTGGTCTGATTTCATGTAATAAAACATATTACCTCTCCTTAGAAGCTTTTTCAGCATGGTTGGATTTCCTCCAGAACCATAGTAACAACTTACAAAGTTGCACTTTTTGCAGTCAGACTTACAGTATTCAGTATGTGATTGTGTATGAATTATTGAGATCTTGCTACACTCAGACAAACTAATATTGCATATCCATTATAGACCCAGTAAATTAACTTTTTAAGCAATTTTACTTTTCAATGGATTTTGGATTAGAATTATCTGTTTCACTGTGATACACTGAGAATTTTCTTGCTTTTAAAAGAAATTACTATGATAACTTTAGCAAGATTTTTGTTGTATTCTACTAACTGATGTGGTGTCCTGATGGGCACATTTACAGGGAGCTTCAGAAGGTGTGAATGTGGTTTACATGTGCTGTTTTCATCTGTTGGTATAGTTTTAATTGCCATTGGGTTTTACTGACTCAATCCTGGTAAAAAAGATTTCATAGTTTCATGAAGTTGATACATGTGTTACCCTGTTTAACAAAGAGGCAGTTGAGGACTAAGGGTGGATGAAATTGAATGCTTAGGACCAGGTAAGAGAAGATGAGGCCTGTCTTTAACTGAGTTCTACAGCATCTGATTGGTGTTTTTAACTCTCTTTTTCCTCTTCTGAAATTTAACTGGGCTAAACTAAGTTTGAAGTTAAAAATAGTCTTGGATTCTTCCCAGTTTTCAGTTGTATTTATTAGGGGCAGCTTAATCTGCTTTACTGCTGTGTGATACAAGTTAACTTGAGGAAAGATGGTCTGAAATTGACACTTACAAAGAAGATGTTTTGATCTGCAGCTCTCAAACCCATTTTCAAAGGTGATATTATGGAGTTTTTCAAACTGATGGAGAAGGGGAGTGAGAAGCACAACAGAGAGAAGAGAAAAACAAAGGAAATGAAACAAAAAAAAAGTTTTTTTTTTTTTTTTTAATTTCAGTAAATGTTTTGGGAAAAGTTAATGATAGCAATTTTCACATTATTTCTTAAAATCTCTTCAAATCCTACTGGTTTTAAATCAACAGGAATTTAATGGCAAGAAGCTCAGGCATAATAGGAAGACACTGAACACAGAGCAATCTGACTGTCAGGTATAATTGACTCACTGGTACTATGCTGTTTCATAGGATAATGATGAGTGTGTAATTTACTGTGACTAAATGGAATAGATTGTACACTGACATGTGGGAGTGTGATTGGATCTGAATTACATATCAAGTGATACATAACAAGGAAAATAACTCTACCACTGAATGAGGTACCCCACATCTTTGCAAACTGCCAAACGCACAGCTGCTAGATACCTTGTAAAGGGCTCTCTCTAATCCTACCACTTCACATGCAAGCCTTGAAACTGAAACAGAAAGAGCACAGTCCTAACCTACAGGCTACACCTAAGCTTTGCACAGTAACTGGGGGAATAACATGGTAAAAAGCTGATGCTGGTGGGGTGGGGATAAACCAGTTCTTTGCATGTTCGACAACATGGCAGGGAATGAGCAAGCAAAGGGAAAATTGATCCCAGCCAAGCATGGGGTGGTGATGAACATGAAAACAATGGTGGATTTAAGTTTATTTGTTTTATTGACATTTGCTGTTTGTTTTTCTGACTGTTAGAATGTTCACAGATTAAATGCTAGAGATCCTGATGGTTCACATACAAACCTTTCCAAAACTGAATTCAGAATCAGCCTTTCAGAAGAGCTTGTAGGAATCCAGGGAGGAAGCCCAGAGGAAGGCAAATCAGTCACACATTCAGAGATTACAGGATTGTTGTGTGTTTGTGTAAATTCAGTTAAAGGTATTGGGAAAGCATATTTCTGGCAGCTCTGTGAAGCACAGGGACAGATGAACGTGGATATAGAAAGAGGTTTTCTGTGTAAAACCATAAACATGAAAATCCTTGGTGTTCTAGTAACTAATTTACAAGGGTGATCCTATACTCTTGGCTGATGTACTAGGATTGTGTTTTACCTCCTACAGCTTGAATTTAAGAGGCGGGATCTATTACTGACAGCTCAAACAGCGTGTATCCTTATGAATACAGAGAAGGAGCTGTAAGACCAACTTACTGCAGTGCCGCAGACCCAGGGCAAGTGTGCCAACTTTAGGCACTGAAGCATGGGACATAGACGCTCAAATATGTTAGCTATACTCATAATTTCATCAGTGTAGTTTTCTAAAGGGAATAATTAGCTAAAATAGCAAAATACATTAATTTACACTTGAAATGTCTTTCATATTAGTAAGCCTGTTTATACAGAGTTGCACTGCCTCCATACTGTTTGACAGTAGCTTAGTTCAACTACTTCAAAATGCTATGGACCTTTTAACAATTCTAATAATCTGCTCTGGTAAGTATATAGGTTTAAGCTAATCCACAATAATCAGGGTAAAGTCTCAAAAATGTCAGTCTTAATGCACTTCTAAGCTACAGGGATTCCTTTTATGGTACTTAATGCTTTGTTTTACATAATGTATCTTTCCACACAAAAATCACATAAAGGCTTTAAAGGCTGCAAAGTCAAGCATTCTGAAGTTAGAAAATGCCAGAATTTGTGTTGTTTGCAGAACTTTTATTTGCCTCCCCTTGCATTTGATTGACGTGAGCCTATTTAGTGCACAGAAAGGATGGCAGTCACTTAATGAGAAGCTATTCAGTATATCGATGCTTGATGTGGGACTCTGTGCCTTACTGTTTATTGTTCAAATCCTGCTCCAAACACAGACTTAGTAATTTTGTTATGGACTTTTCAGTGTAGGAACTGTGAGTTTCACAAACAGCATTCAATGTATTTACTAACATCCTCATAAAGTATGGAGTGGTAACATTACAGCTCATTACTTTACATTGCAGCTACATTTTTAGCCTTAAAAACACAAGGTTAGAATTTAGGTTTTCAGCAAAACGCTGCACTTAGTTAATGGCCACCCCTGAAAAATGGGTTTTTAAGTGACTAATAGTCTGTGCAAAAGACAGAAATAGCATCCAGTCCTTCTGAGCAGCATACAAATGCCAGCAGCCACTTATTTCTTTTCTTCCTTCAGTCATTGCATTTACTTTCTGCAACAAAAGAGCCAGGATCCTCTGGGCAAGATCTGATTCATTGCACAATCCTGACTCATCTCCATGCCGTGGTCCATTCTGTGCACTGAGCAGCTATATACAGCTCTTATACCAACAAGCTGGATATGCTTCCTTAAAAATGATGGAAGAGAATGACAAACTCATCCCTGAGAGGCCTCGTGATCCAGGTATTTCCCTGCCTCTCTAACCTGACGTGGCTCCAGTGACTGCTTTGGACAACTGTATGTCTGTGCTGGTGCTGAGTGGGTAGGTTAAATGGATAAAATCCTAAAACAGTTCGTGAGGTGTGTGGAAGAAGAGTGCTGAGATGGAGAGAAGGTATTCTGGTTGCAAAGAGGCTTAGGGGAATTTACTGGTAGGGAAAGGAAGCCTGATTTACCTCTGGAAGGATGTCTTGCTGTTTCCCACCACTGACCTGGACTGCTGGTAGTGTGATCCTCACCTGTGAAAGACAACAGGATGCCCTCCACCGTGAAAGGTTAAGAAGTGCACTGCACCATAATCAGTGTAACACTTCCCTCCTTAAAAAGACCAAGATAAAATCAGTTCCTCTCTTCCTTTTCCTCATGGGTGACAAAGCTGTATGTATGTATGACAGTGTCTGTGAAGGTGCTAAGTGTCTCTGCTGGGACTGTCAGCGAGTGCTCAGTGCATAAACAGGATAGTTCCTAGTGGTTTTCTCATGTCTGTGGTCCTTTAGATACTTTTGGAACTCTTCGAGATGCAAGTGTGCTCTCTAACTCCCAGTTTTTGGAGCATGGTGCAGCAGTGTAGGTGGCACCATTAATATATTAAAGGTCTGCAAGTCTATCCTGAGACAGGGACATTTTGCATAAGCACCCATGTGTGGAGTGTAACAACAGCGTGCTGTGGCAATAAGGGCCTGGTTCAGGTCTGCTGCAACAGCTTTGCTCATGGTTGGGTGGCTGGGGCTGTTCCAGGTGGGATGTGCACTAGTATACAGAAGCATGGGTTGCATGAGCCGTGTCCTGTAAGATGATCTCATGACTGGAAACCCTTAGGATACTGTCTTGGTGCTCCTGAGGGACCCTCAGCACCCTAGAAAGTAGTCCCAGAGCTCAGTCTTGCAGACCATCAGGGGCTTCAGGTTCTCAAGGACCAGTGTGTCACTGGTATAGGGCATTACAGGCCTACCAGCACTGCTTCAGTGGTTGGAAGAATTTCTGTCCTTCCTGCATTTCAGTCAGACAGAATCACCCTTCACATTACCCATGCCAAGAGGAGAGATTGAGAACTCAGTGCCAGCACTGAGAAACAGAAGATCAAGTGTTTGATGGATTTTTGTGCCCTAGGGTGGAGCACACTCACTGAATCTGTAGGTGCAGTAAATGTGAAGAGCCTCTGGCACGCAGGAGCTGAGAGTGACAGAGCATTCATGGACTTGAGCTCACCAGCTCCCAGAAGTGTTTACAGAACATATTTGCACTGAGATTTTCAGAGGCTTGTTGCTTGGCCCAAATTTGTGCAGTGACTCATAGGAGCAGTGAGAAACACATCCCAGATGCAGACAGCTCCTCTGTTAGATTTTGAGGCTCTGCATCACACTTTTTACCAGAACAGTCTTGTGTTTCTTTTATGAAGATGAGCATTCGTCAATGTTTCATTCTCACTGACAGCTGAACCCATGTTTTAATAAACAAGCAAACAAAATACCCTTCAGGTCCTCGGCAGTCAGCCAGCACAGAAAATCTCTCTCAGACAGTTAAGGATAAAAGTTTTAATGTACTGACCATACTGATAACAAACCTAATAATGAAAGTGTCATTAACTTCACTATGTGTGTGCACATGATCAGACCAACAGGAGTTATGACAGGGAGTAAATTACAAGCTACTAAATTAATGAGATCTTGTATCTTCTATTTCTGCAGCTATGTTCCTCAAATCAGTTTAGTGATGCAAAGCATTAGTTCTAGGTGAGTGAACACAACCCTCTATGTTTTAAATGAGAAATTTATTAATTATCATAAGAGAATTATTAATTATTGATTGATAATAATTAATTAGCCCAAACAAGACTGAACAAATGTGAAATAGGTGAGCCAAGCTCATAGCAACCATTTAGAACATGAGGGGATGCATCTCACATTATATGGACTTCCAGGTTGTTCTACTACAGAAGATAAGTGTAAATGTCTTAATTTCCACTGGATGGTTCTGTTCAGATAACACCTGTTCTCATTTCTGTAACCAAAAGGTGGCAGCATGTTGTCTACTTTCTCTTTCCATCCATCCTAAATAACCTTACTTGCTCAGTTTGCCAGGAAGTCCAGAACAATCATGCTGACTAAGGAATGCTGATGAGATCTTATGTAAAATCAACTGTTTATCACCTTTAAATAGGAACAGGAATAGAACAAGGGCTGGTGGTTTTATTCTGTTGTTTCAATGGCAGCCTGATGACTTTTGGAAATGTGAAGAAAGGTTACATCTCAGCTCCCTGTTGTAACTTCAGAAGGGAAACCTACCTGGAGAGCTTAACGGTTATATTATCAGTAATTGTTGTTAAGAAGCCTGAGCGAGTAGTATTTGTGAGATACTATTGATCTCTCAGACTTAACTGAGTTTTGTTCCTTCTTAAGTACTTCCTGCTTTGGTAAATAGACAATAAGCCATTGGGCATCCAAAGGTAGGGCACATACTTTATGCAGTGCAAATACCAAGGTGAAAAGGACATGAGGTATCATTTGAGTTTTGCTGCAGGAGTGCATCAGTTCAAAGGCTTCTGGAAAGGTACCCAGAGATATTTCCCGTGTTGGCTGGTAAAGAGATCTGAAGGTAGAGGAAAGCATTCTGAAACAGGCTCTCAGATCTGTAGGGGTACTGTATGCTTGTCACAATGCCACAAGTCCTCAGGAAACACAACTGCTACAGAACACTGGAGTGTGTGTCCTTAACAACTCAAAACACCCACATGCATATCAAACTGATTTCTGCTTCCTACACTGGCTTCCCATACTCATACTCAGGGTCTCAGTCATGAGTTCCGAGCTGCTCCATGGCCTGGGAACTGTAAACATTGCTCTGGGATCTTGGCTGGACTTAACAGTACTGTCCCAAGGCACTATGAAGCTTTTTACCACAAGGGCAAATAAAGCCTTTCAACTTGAGAGAGTTGACAGCTTCTCAGCCTCGTTTGCCAGCTGGAGAATAGATACACAGAAAGGGTAAGAATATGTATGATAATTCCAGAAAAGTTTAGAGTCCCTTTCAAACCCCAACTCAGCAGATGCATACGAAGAAATGCACCAAGTACAAGCCTCAGCAGCCATCCAGTTTGAGTCCATAAACACTTCTGAAATCATGATATACTTAGCTGATATGCATGCTGCAGTTCACAAGTATGGCTAGTGGAGAGCAGCAATCCCACATGGCACTATACCTCCTGTCTTTGCTGTCCATAACTAGAGATCAGACTTAAAGGAGGAAGACAATTTACAGACAGTGATGGATGGAGGATTAAGAATGATGTGGAAGCTGATGCTGCCAAGCAAGATACAATTGCAGGGAAGGCCACTTAGGTGTCTGAGAGCATCCTTTGTCTGTCATAACTGCCAGTGGAGATGCATTTTGGGGGAGTAGCTCACAAAGTGAAGACACAACTCTTCTAGATATCAAAGATCATCTTAATTTATTACTCATCCCTCCAAAAGGAAGAGCAAGGTTTTGGCCTGCTGTCTCTGACACAGAAGTGTCACTAATAAAAGCTCCCCGTGCATCACATTCTTCATAAGAGTAGAAGAGGAACAATGCTTATATGAAAATCTTATGGGATGTTAGCCCCACACATGAATGCAAAGCACTAAAATGAAGCAAAGTAAAAGCACACATGGTGAAGGATTTCCAGGCTTTAGTCTGGGGCTGTCATCAGTAGATGTACCTTTGAGGGAGGCTGGAGGATTTTGATGATGTGGTTGTATTGAGATGCTCCTCAGCAGCACAGCACTGGGTGGGTGGTTTGCTGTGCAGTATGTCTTTTGCTCTCTATTGTGTGAGTGGCTGCTGCTGGCCTGTCAAAGCCTGCAGCTTGCCATCCTATGTAATCTGTCCTCAGTTCAGTTCCCTTTCCACAATGTCCACACTGACTCATGAAGGAGGGGATAACCAGTAAAAGGTGGCACACATGATGAACCCCAACCACTGCAAGTTTGTTACTCAGGATGAAGGTTGCCCCTCACCAGTCACACTTGGTTTAATATCTAGCATTGGAGAGGCAGCAAAAAGGGATTATAACTCATTTTCTTTTATGTACTCACAAATACACAGGTGGGAAAATCCTCTGTGAATTGTCTTGTGTTTTACACGCTGTCTGCCAAGGGATGAGTTAATAAGTTCAGCCATGCCAATACGAGCAGATTTCTGTTCTGCTTCTCTGTTGCTGCCTCCGTTTCCCACCTCTTGCTGAACAGCTGGTCGCTAGAAAGAGAGGAAATATTTCTGTTCTGAGATTTGAAAACCAGCTTGAAAGAGAAAGGACAGAGAACACCTCAGTATGTTCTCTCCCTCCTTTGGTGTTAGTGCAGCTGGGAAATTGTCTGTATGGCTAGCAACTCTCAGACCTTTTTAGACCTGGAATAGACATTCAGCACAGGTTCTATTTTGAATAAGAACCTATTTTCCTCTATCCCTCATTTTAAAAGCATCTGCAGTTCACAGCTACGCCAAAACTGACAAGTCTGCGCCTCAAATGGAAATGCCAACATAATATGGTGTGACATGAACAGTGGCCAAACATTTTCTCGTGGCTTTTTTTTTATTGCCGGTGCAATAAAGGTATTTCTTTAACATTTTTTTGTCTCAGATCAAGATGGCGTCTTAAGACCATGTTTATTCTGGCGAGTTTCCTTTTCTTCTACCTTTATACTCTTCTCCTTTTCTCCAGTGACATTTGCAGTTTAATACAGGTTAGTAGATAGAAAACCCAGAAACATCCCATACCACAACATCCATTTTCTTTTCCACCTAGATAAAAAGTGCTAGCAAAAAAGCAGAACCTGCATCAGATCTAAATGGCTGATCCCAAGATAAAAGGTGATTCATGGCATAATCAATCTTCAAAGCCCATTTTTTTATTCCAAACAGTGACAGTTTAATCCTCTGTTAACTTCAGTTTTCAGATGGAGGCAATTTTCAACTCGAGCTTGGAAGGAATTAATTGGTAGGTACAGTATTCTATAGCATGAAGATATGATCTCTAAGTATAGTGTGTACCTTTGCCCTTTAAAATACTTTTACACTTGGAGCTGGGCCTAGTCCATACCACCTCCCTCCCTTGTTTTGGTAGTTGCTATTAGTTAATGGGGAACAGCAGGCTTTGTGAATAATCTAATGACTCCTGACTGTGCTTAATTACAGCCTTTAAAAACAAATCCATCTGACACTTTCTCCAGTATATAAAACAATTGATTAAGTAGAAACAGTCCGACTAATAAAACAATTGATAGTAAACCAGCAGATATTTTCCTCTCTTTCAGAGATTTAGATTTCAGAATATGCATATGCTTTTCTTTATTTCTTTTTCAGCAAGCCTAGTGCAGAAAAGCAGCTTTGCAGGTCTAAGTGATACTAATAAGGAGAGACACTCCTGGCGTTCAGGTTAAAGAGGGCTACACTTCTGATGTGGAAGTGCTTCATTTTTCTCTCCTCAAAAAGAGCGTATGTATTTCTGGCTGGAACCAGGCAATTCTGCCTCTCAAGGAAACACGGTTCTGCAGCTGGTTAGCTAATGGGAGGTGGTTTGCCTCTGTTGCTGAGCTCAGAACTCAATTTGAACTGGGAGTTGACAGCTACTGCCTCTCAGAAATGCCCCCCTAAAGAAGCTCCTGGCCCTGCACCAGCCCGATGGCATGCTGTGTGCCCACTCACCATCTTGGGTGTGTTGTGTTGCTGATCTGTCTTCTAAATCATGCATGAAGCCCCTCCAGTAACGTCAGTACAACAGCGCAGTGAGTCAAATTGTGCACATCAAGGGAAAAATGTTTTTCAAAATGTTTTTCAGCTTTAAAATTGCTGAACAGACGTGCTTTGGTTTTGACTCAAACCCATTCAAGTTTAAATGCAAAAACAGCTGAGCCAAATGGGAGTGTTTTGGGCACAAAAACCCCACTGGAGCCAATGAGGAATGGTAGGCTTGTTTTGTTCTCACACCAGTGCATCAATTCTGTGTAAAGTATTTTCCCTAAATTAACTTCTATTCTAGGACAGTGTATGAAAAAAATAGCAATAGGAGAGGTTTAAGTGAGGATCACAGTAAAAGTTTAATTCAGCTTTAACAAGCCAGCATGCTGTAGCCACAACTATCTGCCATGTATAATGCATGCCTTTTCAAACACTGTAGAGAGCCCTGGAACCTGTTTGTCAAAGGATAATTCATCTAATGTTACTTGAAAACCTTTCTTTGCCTCAACTATATTGTGAAGTTGACCTAAATCCACAGGAATGGGATTTTTTTAATCTTGAAGAGTACTTATTTCGAATTGCTTATTTAAAGATTTTCCCATATAACAACCACATGCCCTAGATGTGAACCCCTTGCCCCACAGTGATTCAGGGTCATATTAGATTAGAGAGTAACTCTTGAAAGGTGGCTGCTCATGTTAGCAAAATCAGCATATCACAAGTACACCATTAGCATAGACAGTACAGGAATTTATGCTTTGAGCAACTGGATCTTTTAACATTCACATAATCACTTTTTTCTCCCTCCTGATGGAATTTCCAGAATGTAGTAGGAAACTAAGTTAAAGATACCTGCTTTCTGAGGAGAGGATGCTGCTCTCTAGGATAAAAATGCAGGATGCTTGCCCAGAGAAGCTTCCTTGCCAAAAGAAAAGTACTTATGCAATTGAGAGCTCTGCCTTGTTCTTTTTTTTTTAGATATGGAGATAAGAAGGAGTTTGTGCATTATCACATATTCAAGCATAGCATTTAATGCAGGACCATACTGTGGGCCGCCCACGTTCCTAGGGACAGGGCAGTCCTCCCTGTGGCAGATTTCTCATCCAGAGGCAATGAAGCAGAATAGCCAGGTGGTTACTGCTTTGTCTTTATATCCCTAAAAATAAGCAGAAAGTCCAAGGCCAAACGGGTCTGTGTGGAGAAGGTGGAAACCTCTTAGTGAGGGTCTTTTCAGCACTCCTATGGCACCCTGCTAATTCCTGATGGTTCCACTTGCAGCCAGCTCTTAATTTATGGAGAGCTGGATTGGGCAGGTTTTTCTCCCAGCCCTCCCCTGCCTGTCTTACTGTCCCCAAAGAGCTGATGCACAGTGATTCAGCACAGTCCCAGTGCCCATACTGATTTACTGACTGAACTCAGGGAGCCTCTGCCACTGAGTGTCTCTGCAGTATTCTGAGGCACATCCATGCATGTTTGAAGTTCTCACAAGTGTCTCTCTGGTTTACATTCATCTACATCTTTGTTCTCAGTCTGTGCTGCTTGGAGCTGGCTGTGTTGGATCAGAAAGCCAGCTGAGCTGATGTGACAAGCATGCAGTCCTTCAGTCACACTCCATGTTGCCCTTTACAGAGCACTCTATGATCCATTCTGGCATTGTATGCCAGACTATCAGCTAGAAGGAGATGGGAAGCCAATATGTTTGCCCCAGCCATCTTTCTAGAGAACAATAGCATTTTGGCAGAGGGATAAGGTGGTGCAGAGGTGCACAAGCAACTATTTCCTTGGAAGGTTGCTAAACTACTCTCAAGATAGCTGAGGGCCCAAACCAGGGCCAGTGTTCACACATTGCAGCTGAGCATTGAATTGCAGGAGAACATCAAAGGCTGAGAGAACAAAGGGTGAGCAGTGGGGGACAAAGAACTAAGAGACAGAGGTGGAGAGAATAAATAATTACAGCAGAAATTGTATAAGAGGAAAGAGGAGTATATGAAAGGAGCAGAGGCAAAATAAGAAAGGGAGGAGGTGAGCTGAAAGACAGATCCTGTGCACATTCTCTAAGCACCCAGTACAATACCTTCTATGACATCTCTTCCTCCTCACCTTGAAAACTTGGCCGCACTGTAAATAACCTGCTCCTGCTTTTAAGCATAAGCACTATTTCAGGATATTAAAATTGTATAAGTACCTGTCCAATTCCCATACAGGCAGTGCTGAGTTTTGGCAGGCAAATTCACCTATCAGATACGTTTATGGCTTCCTGGCAGTTCTGGGTACCTGATTTGCTGAGGTTACTAAAAGCAGTAAGTTGTGGTAATGGGACATGTCTAGGGAGTACCCTATACAATAACGTTGTGTAATGGCATCACGTTCTTCATGATGTCCCTGATGTCTGCATCCCTTGAGCAACAATTTGTAGTTCACAGAATCATACAAGAGTTTAGATTGGAAGGGACCTTCAAAGGTCATCTAATTCCAAGCCCCCTGCAATGAGCAGGGGCATCTTCAACTAGATCAAGTTGCTCAGAGGCCCATCCAATCTGGCTTTGAATGTTTCCAAGGATGGGGCATCTGCCACCTCTCTGGGCAACCTGTTCCAGAGCTTCAGCACCCTTACTGAAAAAAATTTCTTCTTTATATCTAAGCTAAATTTACCCTGTGTACCCCTTGTCCAAGCACAATAGGCCCTGCTAAAAAGTCTGTCAAAATCTTTCTTGCAGGCCCCCTTTAAGTATTGGAAGGCTGCAATAAGGTCCCCCTTGAGCCTTTTTCCAGGCTGAACGGTCCCAGCTCTGTCAGCCTGCCTTCATAGGAGAGGTGCTCCAGCCCTCTGAGCATCTTCATGGCCCTCCTCTGGACGCGCTCCAACAGGATGAAGGAGCCCTCTTGGCTGAGATGCTGGAAAACCCAAGATTGTGACCACTATATACTTAAGGAGTATTAATTGCTCATTTGTCACTGGCCACTGCCTAAAAACATCCTGGATCACAGGTAAGGAATTCATTCAGAAGGCATTTTGAAGGCAGACTTGGATAAACTCTAAGCTGGAAACTGCATTCACAGTGCAACATCAGGATAGTACTGCAGTAACCACCTTGCAATTCATAGCACTACATTAGAGAAAGAAGAATAAACATGTAAAAAGGAGAAGCCATATCTGTCAGCCTGCAAATATCTTGCAAACAGGAACTCAGGTTAAAGATGCTGTTTTCAAACATAAAATACATCCATCTTTAAGCCATTAAATCATAGAGCTCTTAATGTCAGAACTGTTGATTATCAATTAGATCCAAGTATTGGTGTCATAAAAGTCATCCTGGATCAGTCTCCTAGTTGCAAAGGAGTTGATTCCTAGATCTGAAGCCCCTTGACTGGGTGTCCTTATGTAGACATGGGATAATAAACACCTGTGGAGGGAAAAGGGACATTGATAAGCTTCCAATTTTAGCAATCTCATTTCCTTTAGTTTCCTCTGTTGCTATTTTTCGTAGCAGCTTTTGCAAGGAAACTAGCTAAGAGAGCACAGCTTCTCAGCTAAGAGATCTTCTCTTTACTTTTCTAGGCAGCCCATGTTGGAAGAGACTCCTGGATTTCTAAGTCTCATGCTAGGACGGGAAGCTTTGAAGGACAGCGGTGTTACTCCCCTCCAGTTCAAAGGCCATTCATATGTGTGCATATTTTTATAGTTGCTGCAAAGTACTCAAGACATCCCTGTGGATTTAGCAAACCGGTTAAAATTGCAACTGTTACATACCTAGAAATAGCTCAGGCACAGCTTGGAACACAGATTATTTCCCTAAAGATGTGTGTGCAGGAGGGTGGATAGGGACAGTGCAAGCTAAGGATAGCTCAGCTAATGCTAACCCTTCCTGAATATTGCCATGGGATTTTTAAATGCTTTTCCACTCCCAGAGAGATGCTGAAAGGTTTGACTTCAGTTTAGCATCTCATCCAAAAAGCAGTAAGTAGTTCTGACAGGGCAGGTCTCCCTAAGAGCTGTGGGGAAAAAAATCAGACTTGGATGTGAGCCCAGCCTCGGTGTTGCACTGAAACTTAAGACTTTTAGGGCCTAGAATGATCTCAGATGAGCCATCTTTCGACTGCAGAAAATCAAAGTTACTGACAAGGAAATTAGCCCTAAAATTGATGGTGAGGAAAATGGAAGGAGGAGCAATTGCAGTTATTTGCTGCTACCAAGGTATGTGAGACCTGTTCAGGGAACAAAGGAAGGCTTCATTTCTTAATCTGGTCATTCTGACACTTCCCAAGAGCTTACAATTGGAAGGAAAAGAATAAGAGGCTTGCTGTATGAATAGCTCATGCATCAATGTGCGTCAATGTGACCGGCTTTAGGTAGTTAGACGTTATTCATCACATCTGCCCAAAGGCTTCAATCAACACTCCAGCCTTGTGGTGCTGTGCCAACAAGTGCAAACACATCCCCTGCCCTCCAGCTATGGCAGCCTGGGGTTATGATGGGATGACAAGGGGCAGACTCAGTGAGAGGTGTGAGCCAGTGACATATTGGTATAAGGAGCCCATTTGCATGCCAGGAGCAGTCCCTGCCAGGTTCCTCCCAGGCTCTGCCAGGCAGCAGGGCTTTGTAGGATTCATGGCAGAGGTAAAGCATAGAAGAGGATTTGATGGAAGACAAGACAGTTCCTTGTGGGGAGGTTTTTACCATGATTTAGAGAGCAGGCTGTGAGGAAGCATGAAAGTGTTTGCAGGAGAAGCGACAGAATCTGTTATCTTTAGTGAGGGAAACAAGTTTTCTGCTGTGACAGAGTATTAGATGTAAGAGACGAGGAGAGACCAAGTAGTGAAGAGGCTTAGAGGTGAAGGCTTGAGCTTTTCTCCCAATCCCACAAAAATATTTATAGCATCAAAACATGTGCTATCAAGAGGAAATATTGAAATCTCAGAAATGATGCTTTGATGCTTTTTAGCTGGCAGGGATCTTGAAGAGAATAATAACCCACCGTGTTTGACTGCATTATAGAAAGAAGCTATAAATTCTATCTGCTTACCTCGTGAATGATTCCCCAGGGCAACTGGGGAGTCAGGACTTTCCAGCCTTCACCCAGATGTCACTTGGGCACACCAGTGGCATCGCCTTTGAGGGCTGTTGTGCAGCTGCTGTGTAGTCCCAGTTCTGGTCTGTACTTCCAGTTTTGGGGTGCCCTTGTGTTAGCGTCTGTACCACCCATGCTTGGTGAAGAGGAGTAAGGGAGAAGGAAAGATTTTATTTGAGTTGTAATGTTCTGTTGGGGATGTGCCCCAGTACCCTTAATGTAAGAGCTTCTCCCACTCCATGATCAGAGCGTGAAATTTATTTTCACTCTGTTAAGCTTAGTTTAAAATGAGACCATTTTGAAGCAGAAAACCAGAAATTATCAATTTGAAAATTGTCAAAATAATCTTTTCATAACATTTTTTAAATAAAAATGCCCTGATACGGAAGCTCTGCCTCCTCTGTGGGAGATCTCCAGAGAGAAAACGTTAGCTTCAGTGAAGAGAAAAGTTGATATTATCTCGTTCCTTTTCTTTCAAGGTCTTTGCTTTCATTGTGGTTGCTTGCTTTTACATGTATTCTTATCTTAGAGTAATTGATAGTTCATTCTGCACAATAGGAGTGCTTAAAAGCACATATGCATATAGAATTGTGATTTTTTATTTTTTTTTTTACTACTTGTTATTTACATTGATCTAATTCTGACAATGTTATGAGTTTTAATTTGGTACTTATCATGTTATAACATTCTGATCTCTGTTTATTCTGATCACTGCTTAACACAGCACAGAGTGGGGAGAAGTGAATAAAGTGGAAATACGGTTAAAACACTAAAAGGGACTTTGTTACTTGCAGGACAAGTAGATTTAGGACAAGGCTGAAGAAGGAACATCACAGTAGCTGGTGTGATGTTCTGCTGCTTAAAACAAGGAATTTGGCAGCTGAGAATGGCAG